CGTCCGTTTGTCGTGGATAGACGGACTGTATCACTGCCACTGACAGTCAAGATCGTGTCATTACTTGCCGCATAATCAGTGTGACGACGTAAAGCCTCCATGTGTGGCAGCCAACGGCAAACAATAACTTGCCGCATAATCAGTGTTACAACGTAAAGGATCCGACGATACGATGACTTTTTTTTTAAGAGACATTCACTTTAAGTTTATCTTCGTGCCATTCAAGTTGCTCCAAAATCATGCTCCGTGTTGCATTATTATTCCTCGCGCTCGTCGGACTCGCATCGGATGCTCTTCCTTCAGTCGACGCCACCTGCAGCGGACCGAATGCTCGCACCGTGCCTCCACCAGGGGCCATCGTCGTCGATATCACCGGCACCTACAATGGCAGCTACCAGACCATGGCCGAGGGCATGGCGTACCTACCTAACACGACAGAGGAGCACATCATCTTCGTCTTCCCCGGCGTCTACCAGGAGCAGGTGCTGATTCCGAAGTTAGCTGGTCCATTGGTGCTTCAGGGCTACACGTGCGATACGACATCGTACGCTGACAACAAGGTGACAGTCACGCATACAATGGCACAGAGAGACCTTCCGCTCGAGATCAAGAATGGACGCAATGATTTGATCAGTACGATGCGTCTCAAGTCTCGCAGTGGAGTGAAGATGTACAACATGAACGTAGCTAACCCAGCCGGCCTAATCGAAAAACTTGGTCAGGCCGTGGCTGTGTACGTTGATGCAACCAACTACGGGTTCTACGGTTGCAACTTTACTGGTTACAAGGATACTTTGTGTGCTCACAGAGGTCGTCAGCTCTACGCACGATCATTTATCAGTGGTGCCATCGACTTCATTTTTGGCATGCAGGCGATGGCGTGGTTTGACTCTTGCGATATTGAGAGTATCGGGGAAGGTTACATCACCGCCAATGGTAACAGCAACAGCACTATCGAGTCTCAGTATGTCTTCAACCGTGCGCGTGTGCTTGGCTCTAGTGGAAATGGCTCAACCTACCTTGGTCGTCCGTGGCGTCCTTATGCTCGCGTCGTCTGGCAGAACAGCGAGCTGAGCGACGTTGTTAACCCGAAAGGATGGTCGACGTGGCATAACGACAGCAACACGGCAAACGTCTACTTCATGGAGTTCAACAACAGTGGACCTGGTGCGATAATCGACCAGAGAGTGCCCTTCAGTGGCCAATTAGAAGCTCCTGTGGTCGTTACAGATATCCTCGGTGAGAACTACAAGTCCGAGTGGTGGGTTGATACCAACTTCTTTTAAGGCCACATGTGATCGTCCGCAATATTCGTTTTAAAAAAAAACATTTTTTTATACGAAAAGTTGAGAAAGAAAGTTGCCTTGCGAATTCGGAATGCTTGACCAACCAAACGTAGTGTTAATGGCTGCCCCGTCTTACAGTTGACTGTCAGAGAAGCTGGTAGTTTCATTCCTTGATGTAGTCTCAAAGATCGAGCCTGGGTCATCGCTCTCGATCTCGACTAGTCCTTCAGTTGGGTACTCACTGCTCTTTTGCACCATGAACGACGACACCGATCGATCTAGCTTGTCTTCCTTTTCAAACGAGAAGCTGCCTGATGTTTTCTGCTCCATTTGGACTTTGGGAGCGACGCAGCGAGCATGCTTATAAATCACAAGAGAAGTTCCTTTTGGCAGCTTCTTCCACGTCGTTCGGACAGCTCGGTCGTTCCACAAATCTTCGAGTGTGTAGCAGCGCTGAACGGTGTCGATGGTGAACTTGGCGTTGCTACCGTCGCTGTACAGCCACACTTCCATGGCCACCGCGCTGTACCAAAGCAGCAAGATAGTTACCAGGAATGGAAAGAGTTTCATGGCGATGTCGGGTGTGCTTTTGTGTTGCGGAGTAGAATTCGAAGTGAACGATTGACGGTACCTTTACAAGTCAGTAACAAAACAAGTAGCTAGTGTGCCTTGCGGTACTTGGCAACTATACGGAGCTTCACACATACGCGGTAGTTGATCTCTTGTGCAATCTGTGGTTTCGAACGACATCACAAATTAAAGGTTATTAGTTGGAACCGAGTTGTGTTCTTAAAGGCAACATGTCGGGCATTTTGTTTTTGTTTTTGTAGTTAATTGTCGATGACGAAACCGTTCAACCAATTTTTTTTTCTTATTTCACTTGAGCTGGTGAACTCAGATGGGCTGGAACAAAATAGTCGGTAGCACTGTCAACGTAATCTGTCACAACCAAGTAAGAACCCTTCATTTAGTTCACAGTCGCCCTCTATCTAATAAGCAGCACGTCTTACTTTGTGATATCTCCGTCCACAATAACGAAGCTACACGTAGTGATAAGCTTGTTAGTAGGGAGACATCCATCTCTGACCCACAACGATACAGTTTCTTAGCTCCCGTCGCTTTCTCTCGCAGCACAAGAACTACAAGAATGTGAATGTAGTCGTGTTTGAGCTCCATGGGGTAAGGGAATTATAGCTTGTGTCTCTGACTAGGATTAGTAGATCCAGTTCGTTCTCAGAACGCATCATATAATCTGGAATCTTCCGTTGCTTTAAGTATTGATACTTGTCACTTGAAGCCTGGAGTTACTCACCATTCTCGCCAAGCCTTGAACAACACCTTGGATAAACCAAAGCAAGTAAACCAAAATCTACAGTGCAACCACGCTCTCATTCGCGCCAATCTTCACAGTAAAGCCGCGACGATGTGAATAAAGAAGCGGCACAAAACTTTCACTACCATTAGACTTAATGCAAAGGCGTAGTTATGAAGAAATTAAGTCTCTTCAATCTTCTGGGTGACCAAGAGAAATGGATTATAACAGCCACAGTTTTCGTTGATGTTCTACTTTAGACAAAGAGACAAATCGATTCACTACTATGACTTTGCTTGATCATGTCTCGACAAACCCGTTTCATTCATCGTAAACGAGAGCAAGAGATTTAATGTATAACATGTAGATCATATGAAACCTACTCTTTAAATTAAACTATTCTGATATTTAAAAATAAATTATGTACTTCATTTTAGTAGTCTTTATTATTGTCAAAGTTTACGTACATGCAATAGCTCTGGCAAATATGCAGAAATGACCAAAAATACGCTTGTGTAAAATAACTCGATCTCAAAGGAGGGACTAAAGAAGAACAACTGCTCTAATGCACAATCACTTTCACAGGGCGAAAGTGATTGTGCATTAGAGTCGTTGTGAATAGAGGTTGTTTATTAATTACGAGTTATATACAGGCTGTAGCACATATATCCGCTGTTCAAACCGCGCAAGGCACTTAACCAGACCCCCCACCCACCCACCCCATCGCCCTAGACACATCAGAAAGGGCCATCCTTGGGCAAACACTCTCGTTTCTAATGCCCTAGGCGACACGCAAATATATTTGTAGTGTTGTACCGGGATGTATGTAGTAGATACAGGGAGGCCCAGCAGGACATATTCTTAAGTCAACTCGGTCAACCTTCGCGCTACAGCGGACACGACGGAAACACCAGATTTACAAGCCGCTTTTAATCTTTTTTTTTACTTATATTGCTAAAACATACAAGAATGGAATGAAATACTATTACATTTGGCTACGAAACGAACGACCGGTACTAGACTATGTCATGAGTCTAGCTACACTTTTCTACGAGCTCCAACACCCAAAAGATGATTATTTCACATGCTCGTCTAGATTAAACAATATACTTTAAAATTAAAATTTAAAATAGGTTACAAAAAGTAAATGATTTATTTAGTTTCACTGTAATTATTTTTCTATTTTATGATTTTAACTTTCAAATGTTTCGTATCAAACTTATTGTCTCATTTTTTTTAATTTTAAAAATATAAAAAATAAAAATTGAGACAATAGAAAATTTGATACTAAACCTTTAAAAAGATTTTTTTTCCTAATTTTAATAAATATTATCATTAATAATGATAGTCAAGTGAGAATACTATTTAGTACTAAGGGCGTTTCGTCGACTTCTCTCAAATCAAGATTTCGCTTTTGCCCCGTTGTTGAGAATGGACGTCGACTCAACCATAAAAACTGCGGGTCGAGCTGTGGAACGGGTGAAGGTATTCTGTCGTGTGAGGCCTTTACTACAGCGTGAGCGCGATGGATGGAGCTACGAAGAGTACTGTCAACACTTTGGAGAGGACGGCCAACGTCTAGATGCCAGTGACACTCAACAACTTGCCAGCGATGCCGCGCCCGAGAGTCCTGATGACGATCCAGCAACATTTATCACTGAAAAAGGTCGCAAAATCACTGGATCAGTCACTCCTTCTGTCACTATGCAGTCTGATGGGCGTAGCGCCACGTTCCAAGCCCCTACTGCAGCCCACGGAGAAGCTCGATTGTTTCAGTTTGACGGCACTCTCAACGAGACGTGCGACCAGCAAACAGTATACGAACGTGTAGCTGCACCAATTGTCGAGGACGTGATGGCAGGGTACAACGGTACCATCTTAGCATACGGTCAAACTGCAACTGGTAAAACCCACACGATGGTTGGGCCTGGAGACTTAGTGCATGGAGACCAGCGTGGACTTATCCCTCGCGCACTGGAAGACATTTTCATTTGCGCTGAAAAGACTCACTCACAAGCGAAAACGACAGTCGCATTGAGTTACGTACAGATCTACTGTGAGCGCATCTTCGACTTGCTCGAGCCTGAAACTTCGTCCAGTAACATCATGGTCCGTGAAGACGCGGATAGAGGCGTCTACATTGACGGAGCTGCTGCAGTTTACGTAGCAAACGTTGAGGACTGTTTGGCTCTTATGGAGCGTGGCAATGCCAACCGTGCTGTCTCCAGTACCCAAATGAACGCTCACTCCAGTCGTAGCCACGCTATCCTCATTCTCCGTGTCGAACGCAAAGAGTTTGCACCGCCAGCGTCAAACGATGCACCGAGGAGTACAACACAACCAGTAATCCGTTTAAGCAACCTGTATCTCGTGGACCTTGCAGGCTCTGAACGTGTCAAGAAGGCGAGAGTGTACGGCCGACACATTAGCGAGTTAAAGTCGATCAACTTGAGTCTTTCGGCACTGGGTAACTGCATCTCAGCTCTCAGTAAACAGTCTCAACAGAACCAAACGAGTTACCACGTACCGTATCGGGACAGTAAATTGACTCGCCTGCTGCAGTCCAGTCTGGGTGGCAATGCTAAGACAGCCCTCGTAGTGACGGTAACTCCAGCAGTCACAGAAGCACCAGAGACGCTGCAGACGCTGCAGTTCGGGCAGCGTGCGATGCAGGTCGCCGTTCGAGCTCATCGTTCCGCCTTGTCTGTACTGGACTACCGTACTCTCTATGAAGAGATGCGTCAGGCTCTGGACGAAGAGCAGCAGCGTTCTCAACAAGCCGAAGCAGCAGCTAGCGACGAGAAGAACCGCGCTGCAGTAGCAGAGGACAAACTTACAAAGGCTTTATTAAGGGTACAGCACTTGGAGTTCGAGCTTGAAGCAGCTCAAACGGCAACTAGACACTCTACAACAACTGGTGTAGAAGGAGACGATGTGGAGCGTATGAAGTTGGAACTCCAGCACCTAGTGACTCGACATGCACAGGATGTGGCCCAGGTCAAGGCTGCATGCGACCGACAGATAGAAACGTACAAAAGACTGGCCGACGAAGCCTCACAGGAGTGGCACGAAGTGGAAGGGGAATTGGCAGGAGAGAAGACACAGGTGCTGCATACGTTGCAAGATCTTAAAGAATTTAAGCTGCGGTACTTTCAACTGGAGGAAGACACTACGGAACGTATCGCGGAGCTTGTCCAGGAGGAGCGCGATCGTGAGAAAGAACGAGATGCGGCGCTCGCTAGAGTTGCTGTATTGGAGAAAGAACTCAAAGCGATTCATGAAAAGGTAAATTGTATTTTTTGTGGTTTTAGTGTTTTCTGACAAATTTTGTGTTTTGAATTGTGTAGATGGTGGAGGGTGAGTCACAGCGAGAGAAACTTCAGGACCAAATCGACACAGATTTTGTGCCTAAAGAAGCGGTATGCAGATTTAACGTGTCACTAAGAGAGATAACATACTGGTTAAGCTGATCTTCATGACTGTTTATCGTGTATAGATCCAGCAGATGGAGGCGTTATACGAAGGAGCAATCTCGAAGCTCCAAGCACGAGTCGGGTGTCTTGAGAGCAAGTCGCTTAATCGGAGACCGAAAACACCCAGTAACAACTGCAACAACAACTCAGCTCCACAGCGTTCAGTACCAGAGGTCAGGAAACCGGGGATAGCCAATCGTGCGGTCCCCAAGATCGGTCGTCTTGTACCAGGCGCTAGAAGTGGCTCGTCTTCGAGATTTAACTCCGGTCCAAGTGTATCGTCTAGGATTCTGCAATAAACAGCACAGTTTCGTTCGAAATCGCTCGTTTCGAGCATATATTGCCAGCAAAAAGCAACACATCTTTGCATATTTTTAGAGACTACGGAAGGGGTTTTCCGGATCGTCCAAGTCTTCCTCGGGATCAAAATCCTAGTTATTTCATAAACATAAGTCAGTTTCCAGTCCTTTTAAATAATTGTCTTGGTCACTCACCTTGTACTCCTCCCACGCGTCCTCAACAAATGATAGGAACTTGATAAGCGAGTCTGTCGACGCCGTGTCTTTTTCTGCCAACACCAGCAGTGGGTGGAAAGTTTCGCTTGTGAAGTCCACCCCTCGTGTCTGTCCCTGCCTCATGAGCTCCGTCGCGTCGTCGTACTCCCGGCTCTTCACCAGCTCCACCAGCACAGGCAAGAAAGTCTGCTCCATGGGACACACGTCCTCCCCATTCACGACTTCTCTGAGAACCTCCGTGGCCTCCTCCACCCTCTTGGCATCCAGTAATGCCCTCAGCAGTCCATCATACGCCGGCAAGTCCAGCACCACAGCTTGGTTCGCAGCCTCGTCGTACAGCTAGAAAAGATAAATACACAACGTTTTAATTCCACTTTATAAAGCTTGTAAAACCTGTATATTCGCACCTCCTTTGCGTGGTCCAGCATTCGGAAGCGTAAGCACGCATCCATGACGTAAATGGACGCCAGTTTGGTGTAGTCGTCGGGCTTTAAACCTGGTGCACGGTACACTCCGCGAAGTATCTCGAAGGATCGCAACGCATGGCCCCGGCTCTTCTTCTGTCGAGCCAGCAGCACCGCCAATCTCTGCAGTAGCGTTGCACCTGGAGGTGTCTGAAGCTGAGCCAAGTGGCTCAATGCCTGCGTGGGAAGGCGCTGGGTGATAGAGTGCTCTAGAAGCGTCAGTACTTGACTGTCATTAACGCTGGAGGACGCGCTTTTGGATTCAACGGCAACGGCGGGGGATGCAGCGGATGCATGGAGAGCAGTGCACGCATGGAACAGCCGAGAGGGTGCATACAGAGGGCGGCGCAATGCCGGCACCAACGTGCGGAGCAGCATTGGTCTGGACATGGTTGGTGTTGTGTCGTGTGAAAAAAAAGGTGGCGATGAGAGTTAATACCCTTGTTAAAATGGAGACATAAATAACAGAATAAAGCTTGAAAATAAAACGATGAGAGCTGTGAAACATAATTGCATGAAATGCGTTTTGGTGGTGCGACAGCTAAGTGCACAAGGCAGTGCGAACTTAACGTTATAGAAGACAGTGCGAACTTAAATATAAAAATTTCTTTACAAAGTACTTTGTTTAGAAAAAAATGCGCATTGGTTTCGGCCCACTTTTGATCTTTTTTTTTATTTTGGGGGCCTTTTTTTTCGGATTTTTTTTTTTCAGAAGAAGTCGCATTGGGTTGGGGAGATAAGCTATGAGCAGTCAAGGCAAGAACTTTTTTCAGAAAAAGTGCTCATAGCTTATGGCCCACCATAATAAAAAAGATCAAAAGTGGGCCGAAACCAATGCGCACTTTTTCCTATACAAAGTACTTTTGTGGTGTCTAAACTTCTAAATCACGTTGCAGATTTTTTTTTTGATCGATGTTAGCGTCACCGAGTAGCTCGTACTTAAGTGGGAATTAGGGGTACATGCGCTGAGTACCTGTTTGTAACTGCGTACCTGACGCTATCTAAGCGCCACTTTCGGTAGTTCCTTTAGGTACATGGATGATAAATTTCGGGTAATTTATGCCAATCGGATTTCATAAATTTCAGCGTTTGTAGAGATTTTGATTCACTGGCTACAGCTTCACGCTCGTTCAGGTTGCGGGAAGGTGACACAGTATCGATAATGTAGTACAAATGTACCAAGCACTCTGTGGTGCCGGTGTAGTACTTTGCGGCCAGAACTCATCACCAAAGCTACTTGCGCTATAATTCTGGCAGCTAGAACACCTTATCAAAGATACCCACGCAGCTAGGATGTACACAGTCCAGTAAATCGTATGAGCAGCAGCTAATGCCGTACTACAAAGTGTTTTACAAGCAAAATACTGCATTTACAACATATATTACAGCATATAACACAGGGCATTATTTGATGGCTTCTCTGCATCAACGCATTAACGCACGGTTACGTAGTAAATTTGTTTGACGTACGTAAATTAAGAAGAAGAAGCTGCATACTGTATTTTTTTTCTCTACAGGTAGCTAAAGAGTACACTTGAGCAGATATCGCGATCGCATGAATCTCATGAATGCCAGTGAAGGCTTTGGAAGTAGCGTAATACCTCGGATCTTGCACTCGAAAAACATAAGCACGGCGACTCCGCAGCTTGCCATGTCAGGTTGTCGAGATTTCGTTTCCTTCTTAACATGTAGAAGATGATACAGTTCTCCGTACTGCTCCATCAATTTGGCCTTGCAGGCATCGTAGTACTTTCCAGTCTTTTCTTGTAAGGGGTCGAAAATCGTAATTCCTCTGCTTTCTGCCCGAAAATCGATTACGATGCCACACCAATGATTTCCATCCACGTGCATTGGTATCAGGATGACGTCGTTCCCCTCTTAGAAAGGGTTAGCTTGCGGGGCCACCTTAACTTGCTCTTCGGGTAACTGCTGAAAATTGGGCCACAACTCCAACGCCAGCATTTTCACGTTGAAGTAGTATAAGTCCGTGGTACATTGCAGCATCATCCACCCACTTGTTCTCCCAAAAGGACAGTAGTGCGCGGTACGGTAGACTTCCTAACGCTGTTGAACGTTCTTCACGCAGTGGAAACCGTTTGAACGCCGCCTCTCGATCTTCAGGAATTTCACTGACGCCGTCTTCAAGTTCGGGTGGTACCCCAACGCGCTTGATATTTGTGTGGAGCGCCCAATTGATAGCGTTTGTAGTTTCAGTCACGTAACTGATTGCTGTGTGCCACCTATCCATTGCGTTAATATCCTGCTGAGAATAAACGCCAAATCGAGGCACTCTGACGCCGATCCCATCGCTAGAGATCCCATCCCCGAGAGCGTTACGAAACGTCCGAATCGCCGACTGGGCTTTCATCACGAACTCCTCCGGGAACACGCAGCGAATATCCACTTCACACTCATCGTCTGCAACGATGCTAGCGATTGCCTTCTTGGATTTGGGTATTGCGCGCACTGATATTACTGGCAAGCCGCGCTGAGCATCTTTGTAGCTGTCGGCAACATCAAATTGGGTCAACACACGGTGTACGCTTTGAACCGGTGCTTTCCTTGAACAAGCTTGTTAGCCTTAGCCCGTCCTTCCTTCATCCCGCTGCTTTTTCTGAGCATGCTTCTGTTTCTGGCGGATCTTTGGACGACCTCGAGACGATGCGCTCTTGGTTATACGGAAAGACTCCGAAGATTCGGACGACCCGCTGGTTTCAGGCGCCCTCTTTGCCGAAGCGGTAGTTTGCACCGTAGCAGGCATATCCTTTCCTTTTGAAGTTACTTCTGACGCAGTGGTTCTTTTGATTGTGCCTGCAGGTACCGTTGGCGTAGATAGAGTCACCAATGCTGTAGCTGGAGGCCGTTCTTTTGTACCTAGATATACCGAAGACGTGTCAGGAATAGCCGTTCGCTGATTCGATGAAGATGGTTGCCGTTTGGACGAACCTTGCGCTTTTTGCGTGGGCACAACGTCTTCAATTGCTTGGATGACTGTATTTGCAACCGAAGACACCGACTCGGTAACTTGAGGTACTTTATTGGTGCCTCAACACCTGGACGAGTACCAGCTTCGATCAGAGTAGCGCTAGGAGCTGCTTGACCATACTCTGTGGGTTGCTGCGTCGGTGGCACGACACCGACTTGGGTATCAGGATCAGCATCACTCCCTGGATCTCTTGTTTCAGCTATATGATCCGGCGAAAACTCCAACAACGCCAGCTACGATAACGGGTCGACCCAGTGGCCTTCACGTCCGACAAAATGCGCAACACCATCTTTAACAATCTCCTCAAACTTCTCCAGCGCATTCATCATCTCACCAAAGACAAAGGTTTCGTTCCTGCTCATTATATCAGCACTACTTCGTCCGCGCTCAAGTGCGTGCTTGTATTTGGTTGAACCATTGAGGACTTCGTGACGCCTGCCAGTCATTGCTGACTCGCGCATCTGGAACGTCGTGCAGGCAAAGGTTTCGTCTGGAACGTCTTCTTCAAATGGTGCCTGGTTTAACTTGGACGACAATTTCCAACGGGGCTCGATATAGTGGATCGGTACAGCAGACTTGTCATTCATGAGGCGCCAGTACATGACATGGCGGCATGGCAGCAACGTCGTTTTCATGAACACACACGAGCATCTGTATCTCTAAATTGATAATAACCGTACGAACAAGTTAGAAAATGATGTGGTGCCGTACGGTAGGAAACAATGTCTAACGTACCGCAGTGTTTACATGAAAGGCGCTGCTGCTTTCATCGGTGCCACGAAGAAGGTACAACTGAGAATTAATCTGTTCCTGCTCATAATGCGTCTTTCGATCCACAGCCACTCGGTACTGCTGCTCAACCATCCTGTACGCGTGCGGCTAACTTCTCGAGCGAGCTTCTTTAGTTGTTCGTCAGCTCCATCATAACGCATCTGACCAACTTCGGTGATTTTTTTTCGCATAATCCATCTCCGCCACAGTCTGTAAGAACATGAGCGTATTTACACATTCATCGAGCGCCATCTCCGGCTTCAGAACCTCTTTTAGGTGGCCCCATGAAGACTCCAACCTGTCATTTGAAATCGACGTTCATGCATTTGTCAGAATACTAGATATATTTACCAAACTTTTGCAAGCCAACATACCTGTTATTCGCGTGGTTTCCTAAATGCGGTACATCAGAGCGTGCGTAAAACGCCCATCTTTCCTTCATCGAATCCCAATTGCGCATGAAGTACTTGAGAAAAGGGTGGCCAGGTTTAGGAATAGCGTCACTGTCCTTGAGATGTACGTCATCAAGTAGGAAGTACAAGTACTTCAAGTACTTGGTATACTCCACTGCAGTTGGCGCCAGTCGTATCATGTCAATAGTATCTTCAACTTCAACTTTATCAAAACTAGTCGGCCCACCGTATTCACTCTTCGCCATCTCCGTCCGGATATACTTCTTCAAATGAAAGTGGCACAGAATGACCTTCACACCTTCGAACTCCTTTCAAGTAGCTCCAACTCCCCGAGATCTTTGTCAATGACGATAACTTTGATCTTCTCCCATGACGGGTTGTTAAACTTGAACGACCTGATTGCATCCGAAAGGCATTCATTGCTTTCATTTTCCATCAGGCTGTGATGAACGTATTGACCCTAACACCAGCCGATAAACTTCATGTAAGTACACACACTCAAGTTGTACTTCGCGTACAACGTGTGCCTGCAGGCACTTGTCGTCACACAATGTAACCCGAAAGCACAAACATTGTAGCAACAGGTACCATAACGTACATGTCCATACACATCGTTCACCATGAACGAGAAGAGTTTGTAGCGCGACTCGTTCGTGTTGTGTGTGGCGTCGACCAGCAGAACCTCAGGAAATACCTTGAACCAACGCCGCATTTGCCGCGTCTGCATTGTGATGGTCTTGGCCGTCTTGTTATCTATCATCCACAAACACAGTGGCCCGATTGCCTCGGGTCTCACAAAGCTCCTGCAAGACGGTTTCCAACCGCTCCTCCGTCGTGGCACATCCTTTCCGCTTTTCCTTTAACTTCGTGACCATGTTGTGCATCCCGTAGCGTAACATGCTTCCCTGCAAGCATAACGAGTGAGTAAAATATAACCTCGTATATCATCAACAGCTACTTACCGGGGTTTTTTTGGTAGATACTGCATGATCAGTTTTGGCTTAGATCCAGCTGCCTGAAGCTCATCCACGAAGGCAAGAACGTCTGGATCCTCCACACGGCGGTTCGATGCATGGTTATTGTATGTTGACTTGGAGACGTTGTGGTTGTGAGCTACGTCAAAGCCAGTAACCCGCACCATGAATTTGTCGACGCCCTCCTTGTCGTTCCCCGTAACGGCTGCCTTAATGTTCGCTATACACCCCGTTGATCTGTCGAAAAAGGTCTTGCGAATCCCTTTGCCTCGACTCTTTCGCGTCCACCCATGCTTACACACAAGCTTAACCCAGAAATTCTTATGCCGCTAACAACCATAATAAGCAAGTGAGGTTACTAATACAGCTTCCATACGCCTAGACTAATACACGTACCGATCCAGCAGTCCCTCGCTGGATATTTGGTTGTGGCGTCCGGCGTGCGATTTTGAAATGAGCGGCTCTGGGGCGTTTTGGGATGGGTGAAAAGGAGGAGAAGGGGTGTCATTTTTCAGAAATCTGGATTTCAGATTTTTCAGAGAGCCGCGGTATTTTATTCTCGTAAATTACCGTTTCAGTACAGTAGGAGCTCGTTTAACTCCGATTCTACTCGGTGACGCTAACCAGTTCCTTTTTTTTCGAATGCCATAGACAGAATCTAGAACACCAAAAAAGTAGATCTAGTAAGTTACTGAATGGCATGAGTGATGGTCCTTCGGCCGATGTATCCGCTCACATTTAATTCTCAATTCGTCTCGTAGCACTGACGGCGCTGCCAATTATGTGTGATCAAGACCGAGTTATACGATATCGCGGGTGTTTGGCACTTCGATTCGCTGCTAACTCCTCTGTGAAGAAAAACATTCAATCAATACTTGGGGTGGAGCCTCAGTTTCCCATGCTTCCTGAAGACGAGTGGCACATGACGCTAGTCACCAAGGACGAACTACGTGAGTTAAGTACTGATGCGATTCAAGAAGCGATGGAGCCTCTATCGACGCGCTGTTTCGCGATTGGATTAGGTGGAGGTAGTGAAGCGACGAGAGACTTGGGGCCGGCTGGAGTATACTTCGTGGTGTTCGTTTGGCCGAAAGCACAAGCGTTTAGGACGAAGCACGGACTTCCAATGAAAGATTTCCACGTGTCCGTATCAATTGCCAACCGCCATGACATTGACAAGACAAGCGACGCACTACTGGACAATTCATGCCTAGAATCGCTGGGTAAGTCAGCACTGGAAGCACTGAGTCGACAAGTCATGCTGGAGCACAAACCCGAACGTGCGCTGGAGATTGCCACGCTGTTGTGTACGAAATTTGGTGAAGAAACAGCACGTGGCTGGGTACGACTTGCCGATGCATCATTGCTTACAGATCGACCAAAGCTTGCCATGCTCAGCTACGGACACCTAGTCGAACGTATGACCCGAACACCTCAAGACGACAGTGAAGGACGTGGCTCAGCACTATGTAGACATTGCTGCACGCAACTCTCGAAATGTGCAGAGTTGACAGAATGGGGTCCAGTATTTGCCAAAGAAGAAATTGAGCAAGTACCATCGAACTTGCGCAGCTTCCTCTGTAGACCGTGGAGTATTTCAACGTGGACGGCAATACGAGACAGTACTCAGAACACCTCGATGGCTCTCTCGTATCCTTCACGGGAACGACTTACGACGCCGTACAGTCCACTAGGAAATCTGATGGAGCAGTACACGCTTCCACGATTCTTCCGGTGGATTGTGCCATTCCAACTGGCTGCGATGTCCACACCTCGAAATCGAGATGACATTCGCTGTCTTTGCTATTCATTGCACATCCGACATGTTGTTACATTGACGGAGGAAGAGCCTCTGCCAACAGCTTGGTTTGATGGTGTTCCGAATATCAAGAACACATTCCTACCGGTGCCCAACTACAAAGCACCCAGCATACCGCAAATTGATCTGTTCATGCGGCTGTGTTGCAACTCCTCAGCTCCGGTGCTCGTGCACTGTGGTGGAGGCAAAGGACGTGCTGGAACCATGGTGGCTTGCTATCTCGTAGCTTTTGGGTTCAAACCGCCTCCAGTGGAGCTGAACGACGGTAATGTATCAAATGGAGTGTGGTTCCAGCCTGCAATGACGGCGACGGAAGCTATCCAAGCCCTTCGAACGATGAGACCTGGAAGTATAGAAACCAAAGAGCAGGAAGAGGCTGTCAGCAATTATTGTTCTCTTCTCTGGAAACGACGAGGACTATTCCCACCCGAGCCAGCACAACCAACGCCCAGTCGACCCGAGATCACTGGCAAACCAGTTGAGACGACTGATCTTCTCGTGCTTTGTGGGATTCCAGGCTCCGGTAAAAGCTCATTCCGTCGAGCACTAGTTAAGCGCATCGTGGCTTCGCGTGCAGCGCCAATTACCGTTCGTTCGAACAATTCTTTGTATCAGCCTTGGACAGAAATCCACAGCGACGAGATTGGTCGCAAAGGTTGTGAAAGGAGTATTGGACAGGGAAGTAATCGACGAGTTATCCTAGACAGATGCAACGGTGTTGTTGCTGACCGCAAAAAGTTTCTCGATCTAGCTGCTACGTGGAGTCATCACGCCACCGCAGCTGTCTTCGATATACCGACGAAGCTCTGTGAAGCGCGAGCAATGCAGCGCGCTGACCACCCTACGCTTCCACCTGGTCGTCGCGTAGACTTCGCGATTCACCAGCACTCCAGTACATTCGAGTTTCCTGAGCTATATGAAGGTTTCCAGACGATAGTCCGTATCACATCCGTCGAGGCTTCTCTGGAGTTGGTGGATCTGTTGTCTCCTCCACTGCCACTGCTCAAGTTCCCACGAACGCCACACCTCATTGACCTAGGAGCTGCAACAAGCGACGATCTGGTCAACGACTTTAACAGCCTCTCACTTCCAGTAGATAGAGACACAACCATCGTCATCACTGAGAAAATGGACGGCGCGAACATGGGCATCTCGTTATCTCCTGACAGAGCTCTAGTTGTGCAGAACCGCTCTCGCGTCATCAACTCCAAGTCTCATCGGCAGTTCCGGGATCTCGACAAGTTCTTGAATTCTCACCGAGCTGTGCTGTATGAGATCTTGCATCGTGACGCGGTATTCCCCGGACGGTTTGTTCTCTACGGCGAGTGGCTGGCAGCGACCCACTCGATCCCGTACTCAAAGCTGGGAAGCCACTTCTACGCGTTTGATCTCTACGACCGCGAGACTGGACAGTTTTGGGATCGAGCATCACTGCAAGAGCAGCTGGCAATCAGCGCTGCAACCTGCCAAGACGATGGCGCTATCCAACTCGTGCCTAAACTCTGGGAAGGGCACGTACTACCTCCACCCATCGAGCTGGTCGCCTTGGCGCAGCAACGACGCTCTCAGTTCTACGACGGCCCCATCGAAGGCATCTACATAAAGTGGGAGCGTCTCGGTCACGTCAAGGAGCGCTGCAAGGTCGTCCGCAGCGACTTCTTGGCCGGAGACGCTCACTGGAGCCAAAGACCCGAGGGGATCCGCTTCAATACCGTTTCGACTTTCAACAACTTAACCGGTATATAGTCGGTACTGACGTACTTGCCTTCAGAATGTATGTAGATCAAAATTTTATCCAATCAGACGCTAGATCGTTTTCACCCATCATCCGACCAGTATACCGATATCGTTACCCAGTTTCCGATCCGCATAATCGCAAGCACCAAGCCGAGGTCAAGAGCCAAGCAGTACGATGCTCTCTCGCGTGCTCCGAGCTCGCAGCACGCTGTTGCGCGTGTCTTCTAGGACTCTGGCCGTGTCCACCATCCCCTCACGCAGCGTCGCCGCGCGTCACCAGCTGCTTGTAGCCTCCTGTGCGCGTTGGAACTCGTCGACGTCGACCCCAGTGGTTGAGGCTAAGAAGGAAGCCGAACCTGCTGCTGCAGTATCAGATACCGCTGAATCCGATCCCGTTGACAATGTGAAGATCGACCTGGGCACCATCGGAGCCGAGGACGCCAAGGTGCTGACCATCGCCGACGTATTGAACGCGCGCGAGCAGGAACTGGCCACCAACGAGGCGCTGTTCGACTTTGAAGAGTGGGAGAGCATCGCCGGCACGGTGAGAACGAATGATACTAATAGAAATTATGTCAGACTGGAGACTGATGAGGTGGCTGGTTGTAGGAGACGGTGCACGACGCAGTGTTGACGATGGTGGAGCGCAATATTGGCTCACTCATTGTGACGGAGGATCAAGAGGGGATTGTGGGCATTGTGACGGAGAGAGACATCCTCAAGAAGATCTCGCCACGTACGGTGATGACCGAAGAGAAGTTCGTGCACGATGTCATGTCCTCGCACATCATGTGCATCCACCCCAGCACTACAGTCATTGAGTAAGTGGCTAGAATAGTGCTACTTGGTAGTGTATAGCTCACGACTGGTTGTACTTGTAGTGCTCTGGCGACGATGACCAAGGAGAATATCCGACATTTAGCAGTGGTGAATGGCGACATGACGAGCGCTGTGAAGCGAGGATCGGTGCAGGAAGAGGACATGCGCTGCGTGCTGTCCATCACGGATATTGTCCGTGCGTACGCGGAGTTTGAAGCCTCAAGGAATGCGACGCCGGCTCAAGACGGCGCGGCGGACGCATCTGCAGACACTGAGGCGAAGTCTAAGACTGAGACGGACGAACCCAAGGAGACAAAGTCTACTGAAGACACTGAGACCAAGACTGAGACGCCGGAAGCAGCGGCAGACGCGACCCCGTCGACTCCAGTTGTTACGGCTGCGACGCTGTTGAAGAAGAAGCACAAGCGCATTAAGCTGATCCTCAACACTCGACCGGAAGACAATGTGACTGTGGCAGACGCGGTGGAGGAGATGGCCAAACGCAACTTTGGAGCCGTCCTGGTCGTGGACAAGGAGCAGCGTGTGCTCGGCATCTTCACTGAGCGTGACTACATTCGCAAAGTGCTTTTTGAAGTCAAGGACCCGACCAAGGTGCTCGTGACGGACGTGATGACGTCTGTGGACTCTGTGCTTCAAATTGAGGACCCACTGGAAAAGTGCTGGGACTTGGCTGCCACTTCGAACTGCCGTCATTTCCCTGTGATCGGTGTCATGCGTCAAGATCGCGAGAAGGAGCTTGCTGGTATCCTGTCTATCAAGGATATCGTCCGTGAGATTTCCAAGGACCATCACGCCACACCTGGTTTCCGTCTGATGGAGTTCTTGAAGTCCAAGATGGAGCCAAAGCGTGCAGAGCCCAAACCGGAGGCGAAGGTCGAGTCTACTGCTGAGTCGTCGGCGGAAACTAAGGCTGCTGCTCCTACAGACACGACTGCGGTCAAAGAACCGAAAGAAGAGACTCCAATGAAGGCATCTAGCTCTGAAACGGAGTCCAAGACTGTGGAGGAGCCTCAGACGTCCACGTCTGTGAAACTGTAAGCGCACAGATCTGAAAACTTCCTTAGAAATCTAGTTTCTAGAAAAAATAGAACTAGCAGTATTGGACAAGGTACAGATTATCTTGCATTTTTAAATAACATTGCTGCTAAAACTAAACTTCTAATCTGTTGTTCCAGGCAGAGGTTCAAATGCAGCCTTCTTAGTTCCAGCACGAGGCACCGACATCTTACTCTCCGCCTCGACTGCCACGTTTGAATATGATGTCCAGTTACAGTAGAGATCCTCGTTCCAGTCGCGGTCAGTGGGGTCTTCAACTTGCACAGTTTGTCGACGTACACCCAGCGACGCCAGAAGACGCTGCGTCGCACGAAGTGCTGCACGAGGCTCACCATTAGGCAGAATATGCACACTGGCAGCATAGTGACCCTCTGTGAGCATCCAAATGTGCAGATCGTGGACGTCGTATACACACGCGAGCGCTCGAATGCGCTTCTCCACAACACGCAAGTCAAGCGCAGGCGGAGCTCCCTCCATCAATATGTGCACACTACGTGTGAGCACTCCGATTGTCGTGCCGAGCACTAAGAACGAGAACAATAGAGTCGTAATGGGGTCTGCCATTTGCCACGACGGGTTGTACCAGATGAGTCCGCCAGCCAGACATACTCCCAGACTCTGTAGGAAGTCGCCAAGTGCATGGATGTACGCAGCGCGGACGTTGATGTTCTCAAATACCGACGACTTGGGCGCCAAACCTTCCGAAACTCCATTCGTTGGCTCCTCCACGCCGTCAATTAACGCCATCGCTGACATTGGAGTACGCACGACATCTTGCATACTGGGACTCTGCTCGACTGCAGATTTCTCCTTCTCGCAGTGTCCGTGACCGTGTCCGTGACTGTGGCCGTGTCCGTGACTATGGCTGTGTCCGTGACTATGGCCGTGCCCGTGACTGTGTCCATGGCCCAGAATCTTCATAAGAACCAGGTTAATACCCAGTCCAAAGACTGCCACTACAAACATGGCCTTGCCGTCCACTGTTTGCTCAGCGTCAGGTCGTCCTTGGTCGATCAATCTCCTCACGGCTGTGAACATGAGACCAATGGCTAGTACCCAGATCAACAGCACACTCAGCAATGCACCGATCACCTCCGCTCGATGGTAGCCATAAGGCATCGTAGCGGACGCTGGGAATTGCCCCAAGTACATGGCGAAGAGGGACACGAGGAAGCCCGCCACGTCCGACAGCAAATGTGCCGCGTCCGTCATGATGGCCAGACTGTCGGCGTAGTAGCCGCCTGCGAACTGCACGCACATGAAGATGAAGGAGCAGAGGCAAGCCAATTGCAGCTTTTTCATGGCGGAGTGAGCGTTGCTCTGCTCTTCGTGATGTTCCTCCTTCTCGAGCGCCACGAGATGGTCGTGCGTCGCCGGACCCTGCACCTCCTCCATGTCCACAGACGCGTCCACAGTGATACTCAGCGCTGGTAGCGGCGTACGCTGCGGCTTCTCGTTCTCGGACGGTGCTCCACCCATGGTTGCGAAGATTGAGTGACGTGTAAGCAGAAGCGGGAATGGAGCTCCTCGAGCGGAGCTGACATGGCAGTGGGAGAGCGATCGTCAATCGTCGAGACAGCTCTGTTTTTAGTCTCCTCGCCGTCGGACAGGTAGAGGCTATTAAATTTATTATAGCAGGTGTTTTTGACAGTTCACAACGAATCGAACGTGAGCAGATTCGAGCGGATATATTCGATTACGTTCCGCTTCGACTTTACGTGCAAAGCTTGGCGCATGGGACAGTCTGGATTGCGAAGCGGCTGGGCAAAATGGCCCACATGCGAATAGCACACCTGCCTTCCAGGAGCGTTGCTATTGTGTTGCTGTGCGTTGCGGTCGTTGAAGACGCGAGTTGTTGTGTCGGATATTCTTGGCGGTGACGATATCAAGGACGTGCGATTGTGGTCATTGGCCAAGCAGCGCGCTTCGTATTATAATAGTGCCTGCTTAGTCGACCTCTGAAGGAATTGCTTTTCGAACAGGTCCACATGTTCGCTGCAGACTTCAAACGAAGTCCATGTTGTCTTGTGTCACACGTCACATGCAAATGATCGCAATAAATTAGCTTCGACGGCTACAGTTGCAGGTGTTTGAGCGGTGCCGTTGTCGCCCAAAGGAACAAATATCCAGTCGGCACTAGCGGTAGAGTATCACGTCGCTTAAAGAGTACATGTAGGTGATCCCATGGATGTAGTTCATGTTGGCAATTAAAATAATATTCAAAGGCATAAATACAATCAAGTTGTTTCCCTGGAGCTCCTCAACTCGATCCTGCTATTCGCTGCTGGTTCCAGATCATCACTCGTAGCAATAATTGTATCGTGGCGACTTAGACAAACGAGAAGAAGAGAGCCTCGGATGGTCGACTCCACTTGGCGAACAGGATCAGCGCATTAGGCACTCGCAACTGGCAATACTGCATCGCGAAGCGGAAGCACGGATTTGCAGTCAGTGCCTTCGCCAACAAGCACAGTAGCGAGTACAGTAGCATCTTGCGTAGGTAGTCAAGCGACGGATAGCGGTGGCGGGCCATCGGCGTCTCAGATGAGTTGGTACGCGCCGAAGACACCAATGCTGTGGAAGTTTTGCTGGGTCGGATACTGATCGTGGAGATCTGCATCTTTCTCGTTTATCGGGCCAGACTTACGTGCGCCGTTGGCTTCAATATCTGTTGTGCCAGGCCTGACCTTGCGCACATGCGGATAAGCACCGAAGGCACCATTCTCAAAACACGCGCGCTGAGCTTCTTTGTCGCGCGACACATAGTGAAAGCAAGTCAAGGTCGACCGCTTCAAGTGGTCAAGTATCGCTTCGAATAAATCCTTCGTTGACGAAACATCGATCAGTTCTAGAGGTCGCACGCGCGTCACGCCTCCGCTACCTCTCCACGCAGACCACTGGCCTACATCGCTCCTAAAGGTGAGGCATGCTACACTACTAGCGTAACACTAGCAGTTCATCGACGAAAGTAAAGTGTTTTTCAACTAAAAGCGTTAAAATAGTTGCAATCGTCAAATTCTGGAATAGTGACCCTGCAATATGGACACACTCAGCAGCAGGAATTGTTCTGTGTGGTTTCTGCTTTGTCATGCAGGCTGAAGGCCTTGCCACTGGGCTTGGAAGCGCCTGCCTCGATGTTTTTGGAACGAGTGTAGATGCGAAGTACTAGCGCCTCCAACGCTTGCGAGATCGTCTTTACACCCAGATTCGGTTCGTACTCGAGCTTTGGTGGCTGCTGCTGCTTCATGAACTCGGGCAAAGGTAGACCATCAAGTGACAAGCCCTGAATCGTCAGAGCTCGGCCTGGTACTGCCTTCTCAGACTGCTCAAACAGCTCAGCGGTGTTGTTTCGAGCTGAAGTCCGTGCGAACATGAGGCTGTTGGCAATCCGGAAGGGAACTGTCTCCTCGGGCTTCGCGTCGTGCAGCCATCCCAGCCCCAACTTGGGAGTCTTGAAGACTGTTTCGCTCAAAACTCTTTTAACATCTTGGTCTTTCACGAACTTGGTTTTGGCTCCCGACGTTTCGTTGAGCTTATCGACTTTATTTTCCACGAGCATGACGGCGGCGAGTAGTGATGGATCCGAGTTATCCTTGAGTGCGGTGAGCCATTGACAACCGCTTATTCCACCAGGGAAAATATCGTTGAAGGTGTTCTTGTCGCTCACATCGTAAACGATCAGTGCACCTGCAACACACCATACGGTTAGCCTTCGTTTTGAGAGTATTGTTGCCGTTTCTGAAGATCTTAGTATCATACCATTCGCTCGTCGATAATGCGAGCTTGAGATGGCCTGGAATCGCTCCTGGCCCGCGGTATCCCACACTTGAGCACGAATGAATTGGTTTGGCTCGCCAAACTTCCAATCCGGACGCTGTACTTTCACTTTTACCATAACGATAACCTAAGTTAGCAACCTCGCGACTATAGTTCTTTATTCCTTGCACATGCCGCATTACCAGTGACGAACTCAGGTTGGAGCGTTGGAGCGCTGCGCTCGTCGAACTGTTCTCCGCGGGCCGCAACGGACAGCAAGTTGGTTTTCCCAACAGCCTGTGTGCCGATAATGATCACTTTGTAGAGGAACTCGCTCTTCGTAGGGGACGCACTACTCTTGGACGGTGACACCGGCGGGGACTGCATTGTCGTTAGATTTATCTCTTCCTTCGACGAAAGCTGGATGCGATTAAAGGCCCCGCGCAAGCGGTCTTCTTGAGTACGAAGTTAGTCTTTGCCCCAATGCTCACCCATCCTGAATAACTGCGACAGAAATAGCCGTGGTCAACCGACCGAACCGCTGCTTGCCAGGACCTTATCGTACGCTGCATCACTGCTGGATCATGTGTACATTACATTAGGTGTAGCAAACGAATGGTGATTGTTCGTGCCACTATTGCCAGCATCATAAATGCTCACATCAGCGTTGAATAAGTTTTGTTGTCCCGACGTTCGAAGTTATTGACGACACCGACAGCACTGGTCGCACTACCTGAGTAGCACGCGATTTTGACTTGTGCAGTTGTGGGACGATCCTGCGTTGAACTCCCACAAACCCATATACTGCTGTTGCTTTCGTGTACAATCCTGCCATTGCAGAATATATAATGGGCACCTGGAAGCTCGGAGCATTTGAGGCTCCTTCATTCCTACTTCATTCCTATTTGCATTTGACAAACACAAATCCGTGGATTGATAATCAACTTACTTACTTCGGCCACTTCAACTTGGACGAAAAGGGGGGCGGCTGGACCCCCATTTCTGTCTCCTTATCGTCATTTTTGCGGAACTCCAACGAACCAACGACCACATTGTTAGCGACAGGACCCCCCCCCCCCCCCAGTTCTGTCTCCTTATCGTTATTTTTACGGAACTCTAACGACCTTACGACCACAAACATCGATCTGGTGCAAATTAGGTCCACCCAGCTGAATCGACCCAGCTTTTCACTACGCAACGGCTCCAGGTGCGCTGCAAAGTGACTGCGAAGTTCGCAGTGCGAACGCGTCGAGGCGGCGGATGCTCGTTGTACCGCGCAATTACTGTCCGCTCGTTCGTGCTGCCAAAAGTGCAGAAACGCTGACAAGACTTCAGCTCGGGGACCACCATGAAGGGCGTTGCAGACAACTCGCTGCCCATGGTGACAGCGTCGGACCGTGTGCTCTCGACCTGTGGGATCATGCCATCCATGACTGTTACCTAAATGCCATCGAAACGATGGCGAAGAGATTGTTGACAGTGATTCGTTGTTCAAGCTTCGTACATATCCTCTTTTGCGCTGCTCAATTTGCGCACCTTCGACGAGCATCGCTGTCGATCCACTTCGACGCATCTCGTGGCATCTCGGTGGCCCTTTCAGATATCTCGCCTATCCAGGAGGGCAAAAGTGAAGTGATACGTTGAATTTGTAAAATGCTCAATATGTTCGTGTTTTTTTTTGGTACATGTAGAGTGAAAGGTGGGCATGCAAGCCCGGTTGTCAAGTGCCTTATGCTGCGTGAAGCGGTGGCGACAGGATAACGGTGGCCTCTAATAGAGGCTCTATGCGCTGGAGAACTCCAGTGGTCCCTCACTGTTGTTCTAATCGTTTGGTCGTAAGTCCACAAAATGCAAATTGACCGGAACCACAATATTCACACTAAATAGCCAATAACTGCTCTCGACTAGTGCAACACTTTCTGCTGATTGGTTATGGACTCTTGCTGGTCAAACAAGCCAGCAATTTGGCGTGCGTGGCCAGGTGTTTCTGGTTCAGTGCAGCAGCGCTCCATCGTATAAGACTCACAAGGCCTCCGCCAAAGGCAGAGAGCGAGAGCGCGCGACAGCAGCAAGGGCCAAGGGCCAGGACGGCAAAGCTCGATCCGGCAGCAGCGTTTTAGATCGACTCTTTCACGGCGTCACACACGTGGACGTTTCCATCTCCTGGTTTCCGTCGAAAAGCGCCGTTAAAAACATCAAGTTGCCTTTGAGCAACTGCCTAAAGGGCAACCCCACCTGTCGCTTCCAGGCATTTCCGCATTCACTCTCAATTCCGCATTCGTCGAGGGAAACCAAGCGTGACGGACAAACACTAGTGCGCACTCGAGACGACCATGGGTAGATCGCGCACTATGAGTCGAAGGCGAGCCCAGAGCGGCGCGTCGGCGGACTCCCGCGGCGACGACTCGTGGCAGCCGCCGTCGCTTACGGCCAGCGAGCGCGCGTATATGATCCGTAAGGCCAAGGAGGCGTCCGTGGCGCTTGTGGACCACGCACACACGCTTGACGGACCTGTGCAGTGGCACTACACAGGCAAATTCCGTGGCATTCAAATGTACCGCGGTGAAGGAAGCTACGACCGTGTGGGCACAACCGGCACTGAGTTCCTATGCGGTGTGACCACTATGATGGGAACCATCGAGGAAGTGGCTAGTCATTTCGACCAGCAGACAACGGAGCGTATGCTCGCCAAGAAGGCGGACGACGTGCTGGATTGTGGCGTGCTCTACTCGCTGGTACAGGGTGACCCTAAGAATCCGTACTACCGGGTGTCAGCCAAGTATCAACTGTATGAAGGTCCCTCAGCCTTCTCTCGAGAGCGAGACTACTGTTACTTGGAGTGTCAGAACACGTTCCGACACGCGTCGGGACGTAGAGGTTGGGTGCTTAGTATGCACTCGATCAAGCTGCCTAGCTGTCCGGACGTGGACGGCGTCGTGAGAGGCAGTATGTACCAGTCTGGATACGTGTTCGTCGAGGCTGAGAAGGAAGGATATATGGACGTGATGCATAGTCTGCAGATCAACTTTAAGAGCACCAGTCGATTGCCGCATTTCCTGCTCAACTCAGCACTAAAGCGACGCATCTTGTCCGTCGTGACAATTAGTCGAGAGATCCAGACGTCGAGAATGGGACGCCAGACGTTACTGAGGAAGAAGGACCTCATGCCCAAGCGAGCGAGAGCTCTGTGTACGCTCTGTTCACGCAAATTCTCGTTGTTTGTACGTAAGACGCGATGCCGCGTGTGTGGTGAAGTGGTGTGTCAGCCGTGTGCGCCGCAGGTCATGATCTCCACCAAGCGCGGACCGATCAAGACGCGAGTGTGCACCAGGTGCTACCACTTGTCTCCTAGTGATGAATATGAACCAGTTGGAGCGTTGCCCAGTTCTCATAACGGAGGCGACCCACGACGAATGCAGAACGAGACTCGGTACTCAGATATCTTGCAAGACCATCAAGAACATCCGGATTTGTACCATGAGGAAGACGAGGATAGCATGGAAGAGGATGGCGACGAAGACGGACTTGAGGAGCAGTCGGACTACAGTGTATTTGCCCAGTCTCGGTTCACAGAGGCGAGTCGCGACTCGATGGCTGCAAGTCAATTTAGTGCATCCAGAAGTCAGTTTGAAAGCCACTTTGAAAACTCCAGTCAGTTTGACGCCACTAGTGAACTTGACGACAGCCAGTACTACGATGGTGGGTCCAGCGAGAACAGCTTCGTTAGTGGTGTCAGTGGTACCAGTACATCGTACTGGCAAGGTGGAAACAGTGCTGTTAGCAGTATGGCAGGTTGGAACCAGGCCAGTAGTGTCAAACCCGCTGATGGCTACATTTACGATCCCCAGGCCTCTACGTCGAGCAGCAATTTCTATGGAGCAAGTAATTATGGAAGCGACTATGGAGCGAGTAAGTACTCGGCAGAAGAGGAGCCTCGTAAGCGACCGGATAGATACAAGGCAGCACCAATCCCGGAGGACGAGCCGTCGAGTCACCGTGGCTACAACATCAGTCCCAACACGAGCTTCAACGTCTATAAATCGACTCAGGAATCAAATTACAACTCAACACAAGTGTCGGACTTCAAGGCTACGCAGGACTTCAAGTCGACGCAGGATTTTAAGCCCACAAAGGACTCCAAGAAGTCGAAAGATTTCAAGTCGACGGGTTCTAGTCAGGGCAGTCAAAAGTCGAACACGAGTACCGCAAGCAAGACTGTGTCGATCCAGAGTCTGGCCAAGGCTCGCTCTGCACGCTACGGAATCAAGAGTCAGTTCCCTCCTCCACCTCCGCCGCCGCCGCCACTATCCCCGCCACCCGAGGAGGAGGACGAAGAAGACAGCCCTCTGCATCTCGGAGCGTTGAAGACGGACAAACCGAGCTCAAAGGACCGGAAGCCCAAGGGCATTGCTGCACGGAAGATATTCACCCCGCCGCCTCCCCAGGAAGGACGACGCGAAGCGAACTCGTCAAGATCATCGTCAAACCGCGTCCCCAAGGTGCCTCGGAACATGGCGTTCAACGCTGCTGTGGCCAACAGAGATTCGCGGATCTCCCAGACAAGCTCTAAAGATTCAAGATTCGGTAGTACCCGATCTTCTGCGATTCTGGAGCAAGTGCGTCGCAATCGCGGCCGGACTTTCCAACTCACTCCTGAAAGCGACCGAACTTCGGCGGTGCTTAAGTCGCTGGAAGAGGAGCACCTGAACAGGATGCGCGAAATCGAGCGGATGCAAGCACTAGCCAAGGAGAAGGCAGCACGACGATCCATGTCATCCAACGGAAGTCGCAACTCTATGCGAAGTGCTCAAAGTTCGCAGAGTGGTGTGAATGACCGAGCGAGTGCTGCTAGAAAGGAACCGGAGCAGTTCCGCCGCAGCTCTCGTCGATCTCGTGCGTCGCCGAGCTCCCCGATAGGCCCACCACCTGGTTCTCCACCCGGAACTCCGCCTAGTATGCGTGGCCGTCGTTTGCCGAATCCCAACTCTTCGTTCAACAGCCAGGGGAACCGATCGTTTCGTGGAGATCGCTCGCGTCGTACAGATGCCAATAGCGACTTTGGAGGAAGTCGCTTCCTCTCGAACCGGTCCAACGGCGCGTTTGCATCGGCTCAAAGTGAAGACCTTATGTTCAACTCGCAGCGATCCGGCAAGCGACTGGATTCGTCCCTGACTTCTAGTAATGGCAGCAAGTTTGGCGGCAAGCGGTTTGATGCGTCCCAAGCCTCGGGAGTTCATATGTCCAACCACCCTGAGGACCTGGCATTTGATGCGTCTCAGCTATCGGTGGATAAGTCCAAGTTCTCGAGCAGTATTGCTATCTTGGAGAACCCTGGTGAGTCACCAGAGCACGTTGCTATGATGGAAAGACCCAGTCAACAGCGCAGTTCGAACGATTCGCTGTTGAATGAGGATCTACTAGACCAGTCTTCAGCGGGTATGAGCGACCACATCAATTCGATGAGAGCTCGAGCTGCGTATAAGCTGCCAGACGAAGAAGATCGTCCGTCCGATGAGCTGCGGAAGCGACAGGAAGAGCACCGCAAGCGCATGGAGGAGTTGTCCAAACTAGCAGCTAACCACGTCGTTGTTGAAGACAACGTTCGGGACAGCACGTCTACTCTTGGTGGGCTGCACGACAGCTCCATCAGCCTGACGCACTACTCCGCGAACCATTTTGGAGACAGTACTATCAGCTCTGCCAGCTCCGCTAGCTCTGTCGATATCGATGACGAAGAATTTGACTTCGAAACTCGACCTCTTGGACGCACCAAGCGTAGCGGCACGATCCCCTTCGCGTTGGAGGAGCTGGAGCAGGTTCCGGATGTGGAAAGTGAAGACGAACAGAGTGAAGGACCGGATGACTCGGACACCTCGTTCCGCTTGAGCGAAGAGCATGCAATGCCATCGTACCGCTCGAGCGAAGAGTCTGCCGGTGTAGAGTTTGAGCACGAGACTGAAGCTTCCCCCGCGTACCGCCCCAGTGACGATCTGGAACAGAAGCGTGGATTTGTGACCGCTCCATTCCGCTCAAGCGTCGAATCTATCAAGCACGAGTACGAACAGAAGAGTGGGCTGGTTACCCCGCCGCGCCAGAGCGAGGAATCAGTAGAGCACGAACATGAGCTGGCGAATTCAGCGTACCGTCCGAGTGAGGAATCGGTGGAGCATGAGTACGAACAGAAGGGCGGATTTACCACCCCACCACGTCGCTCAAGCGAACACAAAACTGGCTTTGTTACACCACCTCGTGAGGAGTCTGTGGAGGAAGTACACAACAGCGGATTTACTACTCCACCTCGTCGTTCTAGCGACGATCATCAGGGTGGTTTTGCTACTCCTCCGCGTCATTCAAGTTCAATTGATAACTCTGTGCAGCATGAAGACGAGGGTGGGCTTGCTGACTCGGCATACCGTCTGAGCAATGAGTCTGTGGAATACGATCACGAACTCAAGAGTGAGTTAGCTACTCCTACCCGGCGCTCGAATGAAGGTCTCAAGAGTGGATTGGTTACCCCACCACGACGATCAAGTGCGGATTCTCTGGAGCGCGACAGTGAGTTTGCTAACTCAGCGTACCGCCCGAGTGACGAATCGGTGGAGCACGAGCAGAATCATACCAGTGGTCTTATGACTCCTCCTCGCCGATCAAGCGAGGACCACAACAGTGGACTCACGACCCCGTCACGCCGTCAGAGTGTAGAATCGGTGGAGCAGGAGCAGGAGCGTAACAGCGGATTCACCACTCCTCCCCTCCGCTCAAGTGAGGACCACAAGACTGGGTTTATCACGCCGCCACGTCGCCAAAGTGAGGAATCGGTGGAACACCACGAGAATGAATTTGCTAGTTCTGCGTACCGTTCAAGCGAGGAATCAATGGAGCACGAGCAGGAGCATAGCAGTGGTCTTGCCACTCCTCCACGTCGCGCAAGCGAGGACCACAAGACTGGATTCGTTACCCCGCCACGCCACAGCATGGAATCTATGGAGCATGAGTACGAAAATGAACTTTCTAACTCAGCTTACCGCTCGAGCGAGGAATCGGCCGAGCACGAGCACGAGCATAACAGTGGACTCGCCACACCTCCTCGCCACTCAATCGAGGATCACAAGGCTGGATTCATCACCCCACCACGCCGCCAGAGTGAGGAGTCAGTGGAGCATGAGGCGCTTGCCAACTCGGCTTACCGCTCGAGTGAGGAATCGGTGGAACACGAGCAGGAGCGTAACAGTGGATTCGCCACTCCTCCCCGTCGCTCAAGTGAGGATCGCCAGAATGGGCTCACCACTCCACCACGCCGTCAGAGCGAGGAATCCATGGACCACGAGCACGAGAGTGAGCTTGAAGATGCTGGTCATCGCTCAAGTGAGGAGCATGAACCTACCAAGCCCTTGTACCGGCCAAGTGAAGAGTCCGTGGAGGAAAAAAGCGAACGTGAATCTGTCTCGAGCTCCGAATCTGAACCAGAAGATTCTGACGCAGTGTACCGCACCAGCGAAGAGCAGGTTGCCCCCGAAAAGAGTGCACCCAAGTTCCAGCCGTTCAGCTCACAGCTTGTTCCAGGCGAAGGAAGCTCAGCAGTCGACGAGTTCCACGCTGATAGTTCAAGAGTTATCTCTAACAGCAAGCTCGCTCAGGTGGATGAACTTGATGAAGACACTCGCTCTCCCCGTGACACGTCGGACTTCCATCAGAGCATTCCCGAAGACCACTCAAAAACGCCGATCTCCACCAGCAGTACAGAGCCTTCGGAGCACGTTTCCTCTCCCCGTGAATCGAACGTGTCGGCCATAGACGAAGAGTTGATGAACCGTCCCACCAACGAGCTTTTCGAACTGATTCGCGCGAATCGACCAGTGTACAGCACGGATGGACCTCGTTCCTCGGACATGATGCACGATCTGGAAGCGAGCCACTTGCGTCGTATGGAGGAGCTAAACCGTATCGCTGTTGACCACTTGGGCAATCGCATCTCCAACTTGGACGAAGACATGCTCGGCAGTGCGTATCAACCTGGTCGGTCCATGCACCCGGGATTCCGTGATGAAGGCGAAGAGATGCAGTGGCGTTCGTCCAGCGTCATGCAAGAAGTACAGTCCAAGCATCAGGTTGACATGGAGAGACTGCGCCGTAGGATCCGTCAACTGGAGGAGGAATGCCGCGAGTCGATCGCATCTGTGTTGACTCCAGCAGAAATGGACTTGTCCGAGTTCGACAGCGACGACGACGACGAGCAAGCCCACAAGTTTAATGGCCACCGCAGCTTCAACGCCAGCAGGAGCTTCAACCCGCAGTCGTCCTTCATGTGTGCGAGCGATCTGAGTGCATCGACGATCTCGGAACACAATTCGGACGACGAGACCGAGTCCCAACCTTTGCCTGCCCGTATATTATTCGAGCAGATCGCACAGTTGACGCAGTTGCAGCGGGAAATGGCCGAAGCCGAGGACGACGACGATGAAGAGGAGTATCGCGAACGTATTAAAGAGCAGTACCGCGTGCTACAATCGATCAAGTCCAACAGCGCTCGCCAGGAGCGCGAGTCTCTCAGTCGAGAATCGCTCAACCGAGAGTCTTTGGAAGAAGAGAACTGGATCTAAAGCCGGTCAGTAGTTTATATGCCGAGTAGAATGGCGTTGCACATGCATTTATCTGTCGTTGTAGTGCTACATGTACTGAACACGTCGCTGATACCAAGTTTGCGTCTTACCCAACCTCACATCACATGCAGTGGCTGTTAGGTTATTCCCTCAAGCCATCCGGAGTCCTGACAGCAGAACCTACAGGTCAGAACTCGGTCATGTTTGGCATCGTACGTTGTGTAGCATTATGAAGGAGCTCAGCAAGATGAAGCTTGACGTTGTAGGTTTCTGGAGGGCGTTCATAGTCTCCTTAGTCACCAAGGAACAACGTGGGCAGCGATGTCCCCATCGAGTTGATGGTCTCCATTACCATCTGGCAACTCAGGTTCGTGCTTCTGTAGACCCCCTGCTTCGCCAGAAAGGTTGGTCCACCTGGCCCCGGTCTCTGGTCGCAAGTAAACTCCCACGACAGTCGCGCTCGCGGCATCGACGCCGTCATTCGCGCTTCGAAGCCACCTCGTGCACACGAACTTGCTCACGAAGACTCAACTCGCATTTTTCGTGCCTGTTCGAGGAAGAGCCAACGCGGCCGGGCTCTCGTGTATCGCGCACCTGTCTGATCGGGTGTCTGTGTCACAGCCTCGATCTGTTTCCGAGTCACTTCCGGACTTCCGTGTCTGCTTGTGCCATTCCAGCCCCAGGATATCGTCCGTCGGTCTGCCAGGCTCAAGCTTTTCAAGGTCTCTTCATTACTTTCCGGACGCAACCCCAGTGCACTATCGCCGGAAACCTACGCCACCTCTTCGTTTCCTGAGATTTGCTTCATACACGTCGAAACTTCAGTCACAACCGGAGCGGCGATGGGGGAGATCATCGTCTCGGAGCGAGAGCGGCTCGACCTGATTCAGCAGGGCGACCACGTCTTCCTGGAGGCTCAGGAGCGGCTCTACGATGCCAAGAAGCAGCGAGCGGTCCCCGAGTCCAAGGACAGAGTCGTCTCGACGCTCGACACCTTCACCGTTTATGGCTCGCTGGATGAAGTCACGGAATTGTATTTGAACACTGACAAGAAGATGGTGCTGGACTTCTCCGAGTCACGAGAGCTTGCAGTGCTCAAACCCGACACCATGCAACGTCCGCTTGACCGTACGAGTCTAAGATGGGCGCTGAGTCACTCGCCCAGTCGCCTCATAGCCAAGGACCAGGACTTTTGCTATCTCGAGATCATGAAGCCGTACGGCACGGCAGACGGACGTCGAGGCTGGGCCAAAGTATCGCACTCGATCAAGCACAAGGCGTGTCCAGAGTTTAGGAACTCACAAGGTGTCGATGTGAACCGAGCGGAGCTGTTGTATTGTGGACTGTTCTTTGAAGAGACGGACGCATTAGGAGTGCTGAATGCCACCGTGTACTATAACACCAAAGGGGACACGACTCCGTCCGTGTTGATGCCGATGGTGCAGAAGGCACGCAGTAAGCGGACTATTGAGCTGGTGAATCATTACCTCAAGATGTCGAATATGATTCTTAAGTCCAGGAAGATCTCGCTTACTAGAGCTCTACAGCTGCAAGGAGAGAAACGCTGCGCCGCCTGTGCCAACTACTTGTCCATGTGGAAACCCAAGGACAAATGCGTCATGTGCGGATCGGTACGTTGTATACATTTGTACAGGTTTATAACCTGTGGTCTCACTAGTGTCGATGCAGTACTTGTGCGATAAATGCACCGACATTGTGACTCGGAACTACCGAGTCGATGATGCTAAAGGACAAGTTGCGTGTTTCTCGTGCTCACACCGACGCGGCAAGAAAATTATGCTGGAGACGGAGACCGGATACAACGATCTAGACTCCAGCGGCAATAGCGGCTCCGCTGTCAAGGTCTTCACGAAGACACACAGCATCTTGGAATCGGATCAACAAGGTGGACTGCGAGATGGCAGCATTTCATCCTTAAACAGCGAGGAGCAACCAAGGTGGTTTGACGACGAAGGGAAGCCGTCACTGGAGCTTGCTCAGGACCAACAGCAACAACAACCGAAGCCTCAGCGCCAAGAGCCTCCACAACAGAAGCCTCAGCGGCTAGAACCACCACAACAGCACCGACCACAGCAGATGCCTCAACAGCGGAAACTGTCCAAGCAAACGTCGACTCCGGCTCGCAGTTCAGAGTGTACGTTATCGACGGAGCTGCTATCACCTCTGACTGTCTCACATACTCTGTTTGTCTGCAGTCATTCCTCACCAGACGTTCTTCCTGCCGACGGACCAAGAAGAACAGCAGCGACGACGTTGTAATACGCGCGTGTCAACTCGGCGTCCAGCGAAGGCACTGGACGAGGACTTCATTGCACGGCGTCGAAGTCGAACAACGGGCAACTCGAGACTGTCAAGCAGAGCGAAGCCAACGGGTTGTGCGCCCGGGACGGTGCCCAGTAAACCGAAGGAGTCTCCGATCACGTTCGATACGCCAGTAGAGGAGCCGATGGACTTCGCCCCGGTGGGTAACCAAGTGGGCCTCAATCTCGAGGAATTGAATTACCGGATGCGACGCTATACGACTAACGCTATTCCGGTTCAACCGATGGATTGGACAGACCAAGGAGTTCGAACTTCCACGCGCTGCCACACCGTAGATGGAACACGCAAGCACGAGCGCTACCAGCAGCCAAACAGGTTGTCAGCACGACCATCTGCGCCAGCATTTACACCGGCCATGATGGACTTTACGAAGACACCTTCGATCAGGTACTCGAAACAAAACCCATGTGATCTATCGTATTTGGCCAGCTTCAAGTAGACGACAATAAGCAAGACAAAAATCAAGACAACAATGGAACAATGAAAAGGAGAGATGAAGAATACCAAGAAAGGAACACCAAGATAAGCAGTGCAACAGGATGCTGCAAAGGCAAACGTAAACATGATATTGAGCTAAAGTGATGGTCTTGCTGTGCAAGTTGCAGGCCAACGACACGATGTTTGGACCAGAAAGGTGGCTGCATTTGAACTGAGCGCTTCTCAGCTGATGTATCCTTTGACCAGATCTGGTTCTGTTAGTTCAAGCACAGATTGCGGCGCTTCTGGGCAAGGTTAAGCGTAAGGAGACACCTTCATGTTAGTGAGACATCCGTGCAAGAGGTGACGTTCTTCTCCATCCTTTGAGCTGCGCTGACTCAACCTTCGATGCATCCGCAACGCTGTCCCATCCACGCAAAGTGCACACATGCCAAGTTGGCATGTCCACCGTGGCGCATTACTTGCTCCTTACTGGTTTGTTAGCATAGAGTTTACAGAGCTGCGATGGAATTTTTCGAGGGTTTTAAGCGAGCGTGGCGTCGTGTTGATGCTCATCAAAAGGTCGGAAGACGAGCTTGTGTCTGCGCACGAATCTCTCGTCGACGAGTCTTCCTTTTCGTCCAGTTGGAGCGATTCAAAGGGGCACTCGCTGAGTTCAGTGGCGATTTGCAGTCTTTCGTGCACATCTGAGGTTGATCCCAAAAAGCGACTTTGGATCAAGGTCGGCAAGTGTGGCCGTACGTTCCATGCTCCATACCCCATTGCTTACAAAACTCGCAGCTCTGCACGCATCCCAACCGGATAGTGCCTTGGCGACATTGCCAAGGAACCGGCATTTGAGAAAACACCGAACTCGGCGCTGATCTGTGGTCGAGGTCACTCGAGATTCGGCAGTAAAGCTCATCCCGCTGTTCCTTACTCGACGTCTGCGACTAAAAAGCATGTCCAGCAACAGCTGCAACCCCAAGTCGGGGAACTGCGCGTTCTGCGGCGAAGTATGTCGCTCTGCATCCGTTTGTGCCTCCAGAAACACCCATAAGTATCGTCGTGTACTAATTTATTCGTTACCGCTTGTTAATTTATTCGTACAGAGTCTCAGTAACACGTCTACGCCGATCCCGATTGCGTATGGTGCACCAGCGGAGGAAGGTCGTGGAACCTTTACGAAGCTCAAGCCCTTGCGATGGCGTTTCCTAACCAACAAAGCTCCTCGCACGAAGTACATGTGCTCGTCTTGCGCTGAGAAGCGCCAGGTGCCGCAGAAATCCGAACAACCCGTGAGTTTGGATTCATCTTGGGATGGTATTCCGAAGCCTTCGGGCCAGGCGTTACGACTCGAGCATCTGGAGCCGCATGAGGCGGTGCGTCAGCAGCGAAAGAGTCAACGACATGCTCAAGAGAAGCGAGAGAAGCTTCATGAACGTCATACTGAGCGTCGTGAAAACCGGAAAAGCACACGTGAACCCGTGTCGAGCAATGGGAGAAGACGACGATCGTCACAAGCCTCTGAAGACCCTGCCAGAAGAAGCAGTGGTGTGTTGCAACCGTTTGCAAACCACCGCGTGTCCAGAGAGTCTATCATTCGCAATCGTCCAGCGAGTACGGTAGAAATCAGGACCCGCACTTCTGTAACGAAGCAACGTGCTTCAGTCGAGACCCCGACTCGACCGAGAAAGTCTAGTTCGGGACAATCCGAACTTCGCGGATCCGAAAAGAAGGGTCAGCGATTGAGCTCCACAGCAGATATCCTCGGTATGTCCCGGTCGCTTGAGTTGCCACCCAACTACTTCGACATGAGCTCTTCGTCGCCTACATTTTCTGCTCCGGAACATGATCCTGTCGATTGGAGACAGATCGAGACGCAATTACCCGCAGCAGAACCCCGTAAGAAGAACGAAACGGAAGAAGAACGTCAGCGACGAAGAAGCGCCTCCTACGCACACATGTTGCTGCGCATGCGTCGGCATTATGATACCGTGCAGGTGAATGGAACCCACGGTCACCCCGCTACAGCCCCACCGCGACGGATTCGAGCAGAGCGACGTGCCAAGTCCGTTGCTGTTCAAAGCGTCCAGGAGGACGAGCCGGCAAAGGTCGATCCAGACAACTTTGCCATTGATCTCGACTACCTGCGGGCGTACAAGGACGCACGGTAGATCTAGCAACGGAATAAAGACAATATCTATTGAAGAGGTCATTTCTAGCCTTCCGGTTATCAACGCGACGGTCGAGGAGACGAAAGTGATGACTGAAAGTTGCCTCAAGTGACCTCGAGAGACCGTCCGGCCATCAGCTTGGACTGCATCGAGCTCTGCTCTATTGTGGCGTCACGAGCGTGCAGTCGGTCCTGCAGCAGTAAGAAACACGACCAAGTGTAGACCTGCGCAGGTAGCAGCGCTCGTCATTTTGACCTTCCTTGCATCCGGCTGGTGGTGGCAGAAATAGTGGGGCTATTTTTCCTTGTTTCTTTTATGGACTATTTTTTTCTCCTCATATTGGATTCAGTATGCATAAATCCATAAAGAAATAAAAAAAAGTTTTATCACGGTAGTACCACAATTGCTTCTCAAATAATTCATTATAGCAGGGTTTCTACCCAAAGTAGGAGTCTCTAACCTCATTGGACTTGTCACCGCAGACGCCTAACTGATCATCGCTCGTGATGGCAGTTGTACCATGCACAGGTCATGTGAGCCAGCATAATGCACAGATGCCATGGCAGTCGAAAGTCCGATCTCCACCAGCTCACAGCCGACATCTTGGTGTTCTTAGACACACCACCACACGACCATCGATGTTGACGGTCAACTTCACCAGCCAGCAGCAGCAGAGCCGACAAGCGATCCCTGCTGGAGAACAAGATCCGATCGAATTCACATGTCAACAGCGTCATGATGAAGTTCATCTGGTCGACCATCATGACAGTTTGCAATCGCCAGCTGCTTTGACCGCAGCACGCCAGCACTTTCGAGTCCCCTCTCAAGCAGTCCGTCTGACTTTGCCGCCTGGTTTCTAGATATTTCACTCTCCCCGCTCCTCTGCATCCATCGGTCGTCTCCCTTCATTGCGCATTTCGACAATAGCGAGCCATTCCCCACAGTGGATACTATGGTCAACTGCAAAGGAGTTGGGAGCTCTCCCAAGAGCCCCGTGAACCAGGAGATCTGTCGCTACTGCAGAACGGTGCGTCACCGTCTCGTACATCTTGATAATCCTCGAAAAACTAATGGCGATCGTTGGTTTTAAAACACAGAGAGTCTGCGAGGAATGTTTCGTCGCTGCTACAAGCAGAAGCTCGTCATTGCACTCGCCTTCTGCCCGCCATCAACACGTGTGTCTTGTGTGTAGTCGGTTGCATCCAGAAGCCAAAGAATTGCGCTCTCCGCCGCGTGAACGTCGTCAAAGCCGCTTCCAACGAGTGAATTCAGCGCCCACTTCAGTAGGACCTCGTATCGACTCGCTTTCGAACATGGCGAGAGAGCACAGTAGAAAAGGACGCAGTGGTAAACCTAGTGTAGCGTTCTTATCAGCAGAGGACCAGTCACAACAGAAGACAGAGATGGAGCTGTCAAATGCGGATCGTCGACGCCGACACACATCAGCTATCGCTCCATCCCGTTCTGTCGATTTTCCATGTCCCTCAAGATCATCCAGAGCTCGACACTTGCTCCGAGCTAATGCCACAGAGCTGCAAGCTGCGAGAAGACAGCAGAACGCCACAGAGTTGCACACTTCGCCGTCGTATTCGTGTGATTTTACAAAGACAACTGCCCGGATGGTCATCCGTGATGCCACTTCGACCGAATCCAGGGACATGGAACTTGCGATGATGACTGGTTCCCAGCCGACCCTCGATATGTCCGCCGAGTCCAATGAAATGAGATTGTCGACTGTTGATCTGAGACTGCCCAAGTACAAGGTGAACGTACCTACGCCCACCAAGAGGGGACGTCGCGCGTCAACGGCTGATCCGTCCAACAGTGCTTTGACTCCGATATCTATTGAGAACCTTGCAGCCATCGACGCCAAACTCTCGTCCGTGGAGCTGGAGCTAAAACGCTATGATATCACCCCCAAGGAAGAATGTAATAGTTCAGAGAAGATCGAGAAGGACAGGTCTGAACCGATAGACTTCCACCTCTCGATGGTGGATCTTCGACCGCGACCTCGTCGACACACCACGGCGAATGCGAAGCCAAAGGTTATACAAAATGGGAACCAAAAGTCTGAGGTTGAGGAGGTGGAACTTCAGGTACACGGTGGGTTTGATTCCTTTCAACGGAAAAAGAACGTCGAACCCATCGATTTTCACTTGTCGACATTCGACCTCAAACCGCGAAGACAAGCGACTGAAAATCATCACGAAACTGGAAAAAATTTGGGAAAGAAGGAAAAGAAGAGAAAGGAGGTGGCGAAGGAACGAACGATCCCAAAGTACTCCAAGGAAGAACCTTGTGATTTAGCGTACCTGGCGAATTTCCGGTCGTACACCGTGTAGACGGAAACTTGTGAACCATGAAGGATATGGAAAAATTCTTCTCTGCCTGAAGTTCGCCTGTATTTGTAGACGCATTGGTGTGTGAGTTGGAATGAAGGGAGTTTGGTGTATGTACAAAATAACTGAACGTGTTGAATCTGTTATTCGTTCATTCGTGACCTTACCTGCAATGTAATTGCAAACAAAATCAATAAAGCTGACTCCGCGGACATTGACAAAGACAACTCATCACGTGAAGACCAAGTGGTACTCACACACACACTTAACAAAGCGTAGTATTTCGTTTTCAGCGAGTGTATATGTACACTAAAAAATATTAATTCCATGGAGTACATGTACTTTGAGAATGGTGACCAGCACTCTGTTGTCGAGTTTCACGGAGTGCTGCTCAAAAAAAACATCATTGCGCTGACTAATAGACGGGTTCATCCGTTAATTACAGTAACTTAAAAAGCCTTGATCTTTTTCACGTTGGCCAGAACCGGCATCTCAGACTATCATTTTTGTCAGTCATGGTGGCTCTCGAGACCTGAGTCGCTGAAATGACCGCTCCAACAATTGTTCCAGTCTTGTCGTGTCCGGGAGCGCTCTGCCACAGTCTCCGTTATTCCAGACGCTTCAATGAAGTGCCTTCAATTGGCGCCGATGACGGGAAGGCGAATGCGGCGATGGCTTCACGACTACTGGCAATTGAACGTTGAACCATGTAGAGGCCTCGGTGATGCTGACCGGCAACCTCGCTGACCACTCCTAGTGCTGCCTGCAGCACGCACTCTTAATTATCGGATACATAGACTCGCGTGTCTGTGTCAGCTCTTCATTCAACTTCCCGCTCATTGTCACTTCGGAATCGGACGTGACAGCGATCTCCGACAGCTTCATATCTTCTAAGTTCGACTTGTGAAACGTAACAAGATGCTATCAGAGCCCATCCGGTTCACACCGGTGCAGCTCTACGAGAACGAGCGAGAAGATCTTATCAAGCTCGCGCACGAGCAGTATAAAACTTTATTCAGGAACGTCCGCTTCGCACAGGCGAACGGGTTCGCCACGCAGGTCCGTGCGTTCGCCCGCACGACGCGCGCCACCGTCTGCGCCGAAACGAGGATCCACGCCACCATCCCGGAACTGGTCGACGTGTTCCTTGGAGACCGTACCAATGCTGCGATCGGGTTTGCCCAGTCGCAACAGATCTACCGGTTCCTGGCACCGACGGACGAGCATCCGTACCGAAGTTGTGGGATGCGCTGGTCGCTGTGGCACTCGCCGTCGACGCTCATCCGGCAGCGAGATATCGTCTACTTGGAATACATGGACACGTTTGTGGACGAGCGCGGACGTCGCGGATGGGCGCGGATGACGCAGTCGCTGGAACATCGAAGCTGTCCGCCGCTTATGGGCTCCCATAACGTTGTTCGAGCGTTTTTACATTGCTGTGGCACGGTGTACACGGAGACGGACGACCCGAAGGTCCTGGAAGCTGTCACGTACTATGACGCTGATACACAAGGAGTGCCTCCTTGGATGACCAAGATCGTGGCCAACAGGAAGGCTAAAAACCCGCACAACCTCGAACATCTCATCCGTCTCGAACATGTCATGAAAGAGGGAGTAAATTCGGACTTGAGGAAGCATTTGAACTCCAAAGTGTGTGTCGGTTGCAACGCGGGGCTTCCGAAATGGGGACGACACCGCAAGTGTCGGGACTGCTGTGAGGTACGAACGGGGAAACGGATTATTTGTGTTTTATTTGTTTTAGTGGTAATTGATAGGGTGTGTTGTAGTCTATCTGTAAGAGCTGCAGTGACGTGGTGTACTGCGCTATTCAAGGGCGAAGGAAGCTCAACCGAATCTGTGTACACTGCGTGGACGACTTCTTAGCACGGACTAACCGACAGCTGGAGCTCACGTTGCCGTCGAGTGTATCATTCCAGTCGGACGACGTTAGTACTCCAGGCAGCTTAAGCGGGAGGTTCATGTCGATCGACAGCGTGGAGGTCAGTACAATTGGTAGCACAACCCGTAAGTAGTTTTGAGTATTGTCAGTTTTTTTTTTAAAGCATTACGGTAATGCTTATCGTGCTTACAGCTGCGGACTTGGCTTTCAGGTTCGAGCAGAGCGGAGAGAAATTTAACTAGCAGCTACTCGAGTACGGCGGGGTCTGAGAGCGACAAGTTGGTAGGAAGTGATCGAGATAGGAAGCCTCTACAGAAGACACGGAGTCGCTATGCCATGTCTGATGGCGCTTCGACGACCACCGTGGTGGACTTGTCGTATCTAAGAAACGTATAACTAGTGATGATTGTTGACAGGTAGTTCATCGTCCAGGGCAGTAAAATTCGATCGAAGAAATTGTAACGAATGACGTAGTGATGTCTGGCAAGGATCGTCGTGTGCATGACCAGCAACAGGGTTTTCTCTACGGCGGTGACTGATGCCTAGACGTTGGATTGAAAGCGTTTTCTGTTGTGTCGACTGCAGCGGACGCAGTCGTGCACACCTCATTTGGTGGGACCACTCGTAGAAGCTAGGCGACGAAGAGAAGGCGATCTCTCTTGCAGTGACTGGTGTCTGCAAGATGCTCATAAGCAAGCGGTGGCGACGTAAAGTAGCTCGCAACACGACATGTATCTGACTCAAGGTCTGTTGTGTTGAGGATCGAGTCTGTGATCACGTGACCAACTACGACATGCTTCGGCCGGTTGAGTCCGACAACAATTGACAGCGATAGAGAAGCATGAAGCGAGAGAGCTGCACCCGGAAGCCTTCAACGGCAACTTGCGTGGCAAATCAGCAAGTAGAGAGTAGCTCAACTCGAACTGCTCAAACTTTGAGGTCCTTGACTTGGTAGTCAGTGACTACTAGCAACAGCTTCTCAAATGATCGCTGTGTGCTACACCCCGTTCAGTCATCTGCGTTTGTTGACGCCAGCCGTTCACCCGTACTACAGGTCATTGTGGATCCAACAGTACGGGTGGGCAGTGTTGGTACATCTTGTAGCCCACAGCCATACCAAGTGTGCGTTCGATTGGAACCAAATTGGAGTGATCTTTTGATGAACATCTTCATTGTTCGAATGCTGTGTCCTTGAAGAGCAAGGCGACCGTGTTGGCCGGCGAGAGCGACACTCTTTGAATGACTTGCATCTGCAATCCGGGGACACCAGCGAAATCTCGCAAGAAATGTATCCGATGAACGGGGCTCTGCGCGCAGTGGCATTATCATGCAGGTGTGTAATGCACGCAAAGTGTTGGACAGCGAGTTGCCCCAGCATTTTTCTGGCAAAGGTTTAGCGAGTGTTTTGAAAGCAGGCTTTGCTTTCAACGCTCTTTATCGAATTCGTGCCTCACCGAGGTCTTCGAGACCGCTTCAAACTCGGCGACCAACAACTGACCGCCACGAATGCGTCGAAAGCTCGCCGTCTCTCAACAATCGGCGATGCAAATCTCAATAAACACAGCAGCAATTTCGCGTTCCCTCGCCGACACACACACGCATAGAAGTCTTCAGTACCCATCTGTCGAGCAAGCGCGAAAAACACCGAAAGCTCGGCTAACACCTCGAACCACAGCGGGTTCTAGCAGAACCCCGTCGATATACATTAGTTCTTTGACAGTATGCCAGAATTGCGAAAAGTGGCATGAAGGGATCACCACGACGGACGAAGCTAGACGAAGCTACGCAACTCATGGCTCGCACTCGTCCAGCATTGCATCGAACCACTCTCGTCTCGCTTCTGTCAGTGCCGGTGGACCAACTGTTGCGAACGATACAGCGACCTTGTACATGGCGCATCCCGCGTCAACTTGTAGGCATGCACTCGTCCTGCTCTTGGCACGGCTGCAAATGGATGCCTCTCTTCTCCCACCAGCGATCAAACATCGAAGGCGTTGACGTCCCCATTCTTCTTCCGGAATCGCGTGACTGACAATGGTGCAGTACACGTACTCACGGTCACCCGACCACCCGTACGCGCTGGAAATGCTGCCGCTACCCAAGGAAGAACTGGACAATCTTCGAGGCGACGCGAAAGCGGCGTACCAGTCGCTGTTCCCAGCAGTACAGGCCGCCGTTCGGTTCGGAAGCGATGGAGAAGTGTTTAACGTGGCGCACCGTAGCGGCAATTGCAAGTCCATGGCCATGTGGACGACGTCGCTGCTGTTCGGTACACTGGAGGAGGTGGCCGCTTTGTATCTGGACCAGAACGGACGCGTGCCGATGGTACTGGACTCGGCGCGCTCTCGTCGGCTCTATGAGCTCGAGAAACCTTCGAACAACAAGCCGTTGCGAGGCGCATCCCTGCGCTGGTCGCTGTGGAAGCCGCCGTCCAAGCTGTCGGACGGCAGAGACGTCTGCTATCTCGAATACATGAACTCGTTCGTAGATCGCGAAACGGGGCGTCGTGTGTGGGCGCGCGGGATGCGATCCATCAACCACTTGTGCTGTCCGGCGTCGCAGCATCCGGACGGCCCGGTCCGAACGTACATGCGCGTATCCGGCATGATCTTCCGTGAGACCGACCGTCCGAACGTGCTGGAACACGTCATGTTCATCCATATCGACGGTCGAGGCGTCCCCAATTGGGTCGTACAGCAAGCTATCGCCGCTAACAAAAAGGCGGCGGATAATCTCAACCAGGTACTCAAGATCATGCGTCAATTAAAACCGCGACAAGCTCCCGGTTCTATCGAAGACGGCCGTGACTGTAAGGCGTGTGGAGACCGCGTCTCCAAGTGGACGATCGCTAAACGGTGCCGCTTCTGCGATGCCATTTTGTGTAAGAAGTGCGTGGACATCTGCTATCATCGCGCTGACGCAAGTGGGAAGAACCACCGAATGTGTTTGTCTTGTGCCATCTACACGGGCTCAGTGAACTCCACGAGTCGCAGCTTGAGTGGACTGGACTACAACCGTCCCAACAGGTCCCAGTCTCGCCGAAATGCTACTGAGATCAGCGATCGGAAGCTGTCCGAGTCGGTACTCACAGGTACGAACCGATTGCCATGAATGGTATTAGTTTTTCTAACATTTTTTTTTTGTTTTTTGTTTTAGCTTTAACCAAGCAGAACAGTCTTCCTACCTATGTGATGCAGTCCAGTGTGTGCTCGGAAGGGGAGAGACCGTCGATTTCTATGACGGATTCTGTTGGAAGTGGCTCTCGTGAAGACCCGGTTGCAATTCGTGAACGCCTTGAAAATATGCAGCTGTACAGCCCAACAAGTAATAGTACGAATCAAGAATGGAGACAGCGAACACGCAGTCGGGTGCTCACGCTGGACTTGGAGCTTGAGCCGCAACGTGCAGAGCCTATCGATCTGTCGTATCTGTCCGAACTGGTTACCCCTCGCGCCGGAGCACCCAGACGCGCCGTCGATATTTAAGAAAAATGAAACAAGCAAGTTTCCAAGTACTAAAACGTATCACCTTGTCAAGTTGATCAACATGACAAACAACGCACATGTCAAAACCCCGAAAGAAGGAGCAGTGATCCCCACCTCAGCACCCAGAGCGTAGGAACAGATGAAAAAATACACAAGCACAAATTCTACCTGGTTATCACGAAAGTTAAGAAAGTAAGTCTCTTATTGTTTTGGATTAATTCCAAAAGTGTTATAAAATAACACTTTGGAATTGACTTTTTTGGTTTTAAAAAAGCACTTTTTGTGAATTGAATATTTGGGGAAATGGGTACGCTTTTTTTTCATTCGAGTATTTTATCTTTCATGGCATAAAGACCCCGCTGACAATGGAAGACGCCGAGAGCGAGCTACAGCGTCTGGAATCGAACCACTCGGAGCTGTTGCTGCACCACGAGACACTCAAGAAGCAGCTCGCCTTCAAGAATGAGCAGCTAAAGCTGTTCCAAGCAGCAGTGAAGGAGGCGCAGCTCTTACTGGACGAGAAGCCATCGAAATGAGAACGAGAATCCGATTCAGAACATGGCTACAGAGCTACGATCAACTCACATGCCATTTTACAACAACGAAAACAACGACAAAACAAGAAAAAAAAAACGAAAAAACAGAAACTCTTCATCAGCATTTCACGCTCGCCCGTGCCAATAAATGTCGTTCACACGCTTCCGTCTCCTGCACTCCACACCACCCCCTCCCTCACACTTTTGCCGCCCCTTGAGGGCATCCTCATTCATCTGGCAATGCCCTCATCTGGCTTGTGGAGGGTGCCCTTTTAACCGCCTCATTCCTCTCAATCCTCTGCGTTTACATGGAGCCAGCCATAGCAGTTCCATTGGCTACATCCGCTGCCATCGGAGTGTACGACGCGTTAGAAGCCGGAGGAATATGCTACCGCAACAATAAAATATCCACATTAGACCAAGATACAACGGGTCATTAGAGGCGGGTGGCAGAGCAATGAGCACTGTCTGTACCTGGTACGCACGTTGGGAGGCGTAGCGGCGGTTCATAGCTTCAATGTCGTCGGGTCGCGTGAAGTCGCGCTGCTGGTCGTGCTGCTGACGCTGGTGGCCATAGTTGGCGTGGTGTGCTTGTTGCCCACCAGGCTGTTGCTGTTGGTATCCACTTTGCGGCTGGTTGCCCTGCTGGGCATACTGTCCATAGGCAGTGTAGCCATAAGCACCCTGTTGGTACTGAGGGTAGCCATATGCAGCATTGTAGCCATAGTAGTTCTGCACAACAAAAGTCAATAAAACAGCATAGAAAATGATCCAAACGTGACCACGTACCTGGTATCCAGCCTGGTACTGTCCGTACTGCTGGTTGTAGTAGCTGTTGTGGTTGGCTGCACGTGCAGCCGCCGATCGACCCCACGCACATCGCACCTTAACCCCACTAATAACCGTACCGTTCATCTGCGAAATGGCTACTTCCGCTGCTTCTTTCGACGTGTACTGCACGAAGCCACAGCCACGTCCAGGGGGCACTTTAACCGACACAATCTCTCCCAGAGCTCCAAACCTCGCACGTAGTTCGTCCTCCGTCGTTGAAGGGTCCAGTCCACCCACAAATACCGTCGTGTTGGTGCCTTCTTCCTCGCCCATACCGAAGCCAACTTGTTGTCGCGATTTGTTCCGCTCTGTAGCCACACTGACACGCATGGGACGAGAGGAGCAGTACACGCCGTTCATGGTCTGTAGAGCTTGGTCGGCCTCCTCTTTACTGCCGAATCGCACGAAGCCGAAGCCCTTGGACATGCGTGTAACCGGGTCCATGACCACTTTGGCGCCTCTCACAGTGGTAAACCGAGCACTAAAAGTGTTCAGCAACAGCTCGTCCGTCACATCGGGCGCCAAGTCTCCTACAAAGATCGAGTGATCATCCGACGTCTCAATACGACGGCCACCAGCGCCCCAATTCATCCGGAACCGATGCATCGTGTTCGCTAGTCGAATAAGAAAAAGTGTAACATATTATCAGATTTGTTACAAATAAGAAATTATGAAGGAGTTGGGCGTACGGATAAGTTGGCCGTTGTATGCGTCCAGCACTTGTTGAGCTCCTCGTGGTGTCGGGAACTCAAGGAAGCCGTAACCTGCAGGATACCCCGTCACCTTGTCACGGATCAACTTGACCACCGGCTGCTCTGCTGTATTATATTTAATAAAAATAATAGAATGGTATAATAAGCTATTTGTTCAATTTGAAGCCATTTTCGAGGCTTTTTTTAAGCGTACCGGCCGACGTGAAGAGCGACGCGATGAAGGTTTCGTCCCAGTGCATCTGGATGTCGCCCATCCACAGCGTCTTGCATTCCGTCTCCATGGCGCTCGAGAATCTCCCAGACGCAGAGAGGGAGGGAGGGCACGTTTCCTCCTTGGCGGGCGACTTGGCTTGTGTGTTTTTGTTCCCCCTGTCTCCCCCGCAACGTCGTGACAATGGCTGCAACCACAAGACAAACACCGAATGAACGCATTATTCCACCGAAATTGATGGTACCTCTTAGGGTTAGGAGTCTTATGCTATGAAACGACGTGAACGCTAAAAATGGCTACATTTGGCTGTTACAGCAAAAGTAATGGCTTCACCATACCTCGATGCTAACCACTCCCATTCCCGTCGTCTCCTGCTTCTAGACGTTCGTTTGCTTCATTATGATAGCACCTACGCCGCTGGGTAATACCAGCGACAATATGGCTATGACATTGCGTGGGTCCATGGCTCGACGCAGCTCGCTGGGTGTGCCTGTATCCACGTTGATCTTCCCCCGATCTGCAGCAGACCGAAGTGAGGCCAATAAACTGACCAAGGCGATGGAGGAAAAGTATGGCTTCCACTACGTCACCAACTCGTTCACCCAAGATCCACTCGTAGAGCTCGACTTCCAGGCCTACTACACCGAGACCAACCTGACCCCAGCGCTCTACGCAAGCCTAATCTGCTGGCTCATGTGGATCACGCTCAGTACACCTGACTGGGTGGGCTACTATGACGACGACCCGGACGTCCGAGCAGCCTCGGAGCTGCGACTCTGGATCTCCGCCTTCATCTACATCCCCGTACCCACAGTAGTAGCGTGTTGCCGGTCGCGATACTTCATAGGTTATGAGCAGACTTTGCTGTGTCTGATCGCGCACTGCTTCGCTGCTGGTATTTTGGGCCAAGGTCTCATCAACGCGGACGACTATACACGAGTTTTTCTTAAAGACCTCAAGTCTCTCTTCTCACTTGCGTTCAATGAACCGCCTGAGACGGACTGGAGACATTCCGAGGGCTCCCACACCTCCCCGAATAATGACACTATTGTTTTGAACGGATCTACGGAATGGTGGATCTATCAGGACCTCGAGTCGTCAGGCCATGACCTTGTGCTGACATATATTAACCGAGGTACGTTAACTGATCATCTGCTTAAAGAGATCTTTACTAATGTCAATCTGAATTCTGTAGTGGCGATTCCTATGGCACATCTGAACATGAACTTATTGCGACCACTGGTGGTATTGTTAGTGGCGCCTCTGTTCAAGCTTGACGCTTTCCATTATTTACTACTGGCGTTTGTAATTAACGTGGAGTTCTGCATCCTCGTCTCGCTTCAATACCCTGCCTCAAGCTCGACTATCTTCGTGGTCAACAAGTTCTTGTTGATCTTCACTCTGGTCTGTGTATCAGCAGTCCTAGTGGTCCGTGTCCGTCAAACCGATCGCTTCTTGCGACTCAATTTCCTGCATGCTAAGATCGTCGAGGAACGAGCGCGTGCGTCTCATTTACAGAAAGAAATTATTCTCAACGAGAATAAAAGTCTCAAGAAAATGCTGGAAGAACGCGTAGGTGGGCATGGGGATGGCAGCCCGCCATTGGACTTTGACTCGCCTATGGCCAAAGTTTTACTGGATCTCAAGGCCTTGCAACGCGCCACTGAATTGTCACCGGAACTTCGTGAAAATCTGGACGGGATCGTGACTTTACTCATGCGAAAAGGTCAAAATCTCTTCGCGCCGGATATTCATGAACAGCTCAAAATGAAGCGCGATGGAGACTTGGACGGCGACATTAAGTCGTGGGCTACTACAGTTCTTGCTAACAAGTCGTACACACGTAATCGTCGAGCCTCCGCAGTGTTTCAGAATAGCATCGAGAATCCTGCGAGTATCAAGGATTCAGATAGAAGTATGACAGCGAGCTCCAGCAACTCAAGTGTCTCCTTGAGTCCAACCAATCGTGTTGAAACACGACTACATCCAGAAGTTACAGCGCCGACAGATGAAGTGTTGAATGCTGTTGGAGAACTCATGGAACGCGATGGCTGGAGTGTCGATACGTTCGAGTAAGTCTTAGGTGGACGCTGTATCTGGTGGTATACTCATTCTTCTTGTTGGTAGGGTGGCAAGACTGACGAACAACAAGCCGATCTCCTTCATCACGTACATTGCCTTCGAGCAGCACAACCTCTTCGACCTCTGCTCCGTCAACAAAGACACACTGGCCAACTTCCTTCACTTCTTGGACATCGGATACCATCGGAATCCTTACGTACGCCACAATTTAATTTTTTTTTTACGTTCAGTAGACTAACCAGTGTTGTTTGTCAGCATAACAATTGCCACGCTGCAGATGTCGTCAGCTCAGTGGAATATCTCATCTCGGTCATGGATAATGGATACTTGCAGGATTTACTCACTTACCAGGAAGTCTTCGCTGCGATCATCGCTGCTGCTATCCACGATTTCAGGCATCCAGGCAAGAACAACAACTTTATGATTAAGAGCGGCAGTGACTTGGCCATCGAGTTCAGCGACTCGTCCGTTCTGGAACGCATGCACTTATCCGAAGCCTTTTTCTTAGCTAAAGACCCCCTTTTTAACATCTTCGTGGGTCTTTCACCTGGTCAGTACAGCGAAGTACGCAAGGCCATCGTAGAGATGGTGCTATCAACCGACCTTACTGTTCATCTGCAGCTTGTGGGAAGCTTGAAGACGGCGCTGATCTCGCAGGAAGATGCAGAGGTAGAGCACTCCCCCATGCTACTTATGAAGATCGTTATCAAGTGTGCAGATCTCGGTCACTCCTCCAAGGCCTTGAAGCTTCACTCTCGCTGGTCTGATCTCATTATTGAGGAGTTTTTCTTGCAGGGAGACGACGAACACACTCTGGGGATGGATATCTCGCCTTTCATGAACCGAAACAGCGAGAATAGCGCTCGTAACCAAGTCGGGTTCTTCGAGTTTATCGTGTTACCGTTCTTCGAAGTGGTGGCTGAAGCGGTATTCCGTCCCGAATTTAAGACCATTCTGGATCAGGCTCACCAGAACTATAAGCTCTGGAAGAAGGCGGATAATATGCAGATTAACTCTATAAAAGACATTTTAGACCAAGTGCTGGACCCTGAAGCAGCCAAGACGGCAAAAACTCTAGTCGGGCACTAGACGCGTCCGTAGGGATTTGTACTGTGTCGGGAATGCTTTCGTCCGAGCCAGAACTTGGTGCGGTCTCCGTTGCTCTCCAGCAGCGCGAAGAGAAGATATAGACACGATACGACGTGGCCTAGACAGAGTAGAGCCCCTACTGTCAATGGACCGTAGCGGGCGTTGCGTAGCCATTGTGTTGAGTCTCCAGAGGCGAAGCTCTTCTCTCTTGTGTAGATCCAGACGCCGACAAGCGCCAAGCCCACGAATTGATTGATAATGGACGCAGTAGGATAAAGAATGATGGTCTCATCGTAGAAAAGTGTGGGTGTTAGCAGTGGAAGCAGCGCGAAGACGTCGGGGGAAGGGTCGAACATGGCAGCCAGGTCCACGAGCAGCAGCAAAACCAAAGTCCCACATGCCGCGAACCATGAGTATCGAGCGGTATTGCCTTTTGTGGAGTTGGGAAGTTCAGGAGGGTCGAATACAGAGCGACGAGGAGCTGATGCGGCCTGGGCGGCGCTCAGTAGGTCGTCGTCGCTGTCGCTGTCGCTCACGGCGCGGATGATCATTGCGCAAGGTTGCGATCTTACCAAAGTGATGCCGAAATAAACCGGTTTTCAGCCCACTAAGTACGATTTCGAGCGAGTGGGGAGTGATATACATGTTTTATAGTTGGTATTTCCATAGCAGATGAATTGCTGGCGGGTGCAATACATGTGCGAGTGCTACATGTACTCGTCGAGTAAGTTACTGTAGTGATAGCACTAGGCTTGTGACGATGTGAAATGGTCCGGTTATTATATTCAAGTTGAAGTTGTTTTTTAACATGGACCTCGACTTACGAGAATCGGAGATGAGAATCGGATTGTCGTCGATCTATCTACATGTACCTTCACGATGTGTAGCACGCATCCATCGCTTGCACTCAGCGACTACATTTCCTACTGCTCTCTGGTAGACTATCAGTAGTAGTCCAGAACAGCAAGCGCAAAAGTGCTAGAGCTTTAACAACAGCTCAATTATCGCGGTCAATCGGCAAACGAATGCCTTGGCTGCATCCTCTATCAAAGAAATAGCGACCCAACATTCATTATGCGAGCACAAATTCCTGTGGATCCATTGCATCTGACAATAGCTTCGAGATGCAGCCTGCAGGTCGACCGGCTTCTTGCAACATGGCCATGTTTTTGACACAACTTCAAGTTCCACGCCCAACTAACAGTAAGCCTTGTCGACTAGTATTGCAGAAGCACAGTACGCGAGCACCACAATGACAGACTCGCTGTGCTGCATATGTAGATAACCTCACAGTTTACAATTCACTGAAAACGCAACATACAGTCCCGAACGATTCCTCACTCGGGGGCAAGACGCTCTGTGCCGGTGCCTCCAGCCAAATTTACCGACGATTCAAGATCGGTAATACCGATATCTCCGGTACGCATCACCTTGAAGTTTGCCACATTTTGGTATCGACGTCGCTCATTTCTCTTTCTGCACGTCAACCAGCTCACCCCTGCCACGACAATCACTCTTGCCTTCACCATGCTTCGCGGACTATCACGCCAGCGCTTCCCCATACATCGTCTGCATCTCTCGAGCCGCCGGGAGATCGCCAGCTACACGGAGCAGTATCGACGCAGCCTCGAGAAGCCCGAAGAGTTCTGGGCCGAAGCAGCGCAGGACATCAAATGGTTCAAACCCTGGTCCAAAACCCTCGACACGTACGCAACGATATGACCTCTACATAAGAGAAATTAGTCACTGTTTTACTCTAACTCTTCCGTTATTACAGCGCCAGCGGGCCGTCGTCGAGGTGGTTCACTGGGGGCGAGATGAACACGTGCTACAATGCATTAGACGTGCACGTCAACAGCGGGCGGGGCGATGTCGTGGCTCTCCATTACGACAGCCCACTAACTAGCACCAAGACGACCATGACATACAGTCAGCTACTGAAAGAAGGTCAACCCTCCTTGTCCATTAGTCGAATAATGACCCACTCACGCTGTTGTTATAGTCTCTACCTTTGCTGGTGGGTTGCAGAAGCTGGGCGTGAAGAAAGGAGATTGTGTGGTTATCTACATGCCAGCAGTATTGGAGACGACTGTAGCCATGCTCGCCTGCGCGCGTCTCGGAGCTGTGCACTCCGTCGTCTTCGGCGGGTTTGCAACGCTTGAGCTGGCTGCTCGCATTGAAGATGCGAAACCCAAGCTGATCATCTCAGCGAGCTGCGGCGTGGAGCCCAAGGGCATCATCGACTACGGACCACTGCTCAATGGAGCGATCGAGCGCTCGACCTGGAAACCCAACAAGGTTGTCATGATGCAACGCGATCTCTGCCCGTTCCCCATGACCAAAGGCCGTGACGTCGACTGGAGAGACGTGATGGCGATGGGCAATCCTGTCGATGCAGTGCCTGTACTGGCAACAGATCCGCTCTATATCCTGTATACGTCGGGAACTACGGGACGTCCGAAGGGCGTCGTGCGAGACAATGGCGGCCATGCTGTTGCACTGAAGTGGGCTATGCGCAACGTGTTCGACATTGCGTCGGAGGATGCGTTCTTCGCGGCGTCAGATATGGGCTGGACGGTTGGGCACTCGCTTGTTGTGTATGGACCGCTCGTACATGGCTGCACGGTATGATTTGGAGACGGTGAGATGTTGTTTTGATGGTTAATAACACTTGATGTTGCAGTCGGTTCTGTATGCGGGCAAACCTGTCGGAACTCCGGATGCTGGAGCTTATTGGCGATTGATTACGGAATACGGTATCAAGTCCATGTTTACTGCTCCGACTGCACTGCGAGCGATCCGAAAAGAAGACCCACATGCTCTGCTGCTCAAGGAGAAGAAGCAGGAGATCCGCAAGACGTTCCAGTATGTTACATCTGTATTGATTGTCAATCTGTGACAACCTAAATATGTTATTTTTTCATTGTACAGGTCGATGTTCGTAGCTGGCGAACGTGGTGACCCCAAGACGTTCAATTTCTTCTCAGAAGAGCTTGGCGTTCCTCTTATCGACCACTGGTAAGCTGTTCTCCAGGCTACTGTAGTGCTTTCCGCCACTTAATTCTGTTTGATCAGGTGGCAGACGGAGACTGGATGGCCGATCACGGCGCCGTGTCTTGGCATGCAGAACGACGATCTTACAGAAGACGGCCATCCACGCATTAAAGTAGGCTCGGTCGCTCGTCCGGTGCCAGGCTGGGATGTTCAACTTTTAACAGCCGACAGCACCGACGACGATGAGAACCACGGCCATAACCACGAGAAAGAAGAGAAAGATGCCGAGCTTGTGGTGAAGCTACCACTTCCTCCGGGTACGCACCTGTCGCCTCTTGGATGCTCTGCACAATGTAGGCTTAATGTGTCTTCTTTGATGTATATTAGGCGCTTTGACTACCCTGCACAACAACCCAGACGACTTTTATGCCAAGTATTTCAAGCGATTCCCGGGCTACTACCACACTGGAGACACCGGACACATCGATGAAGAAGGTTTCGTTTACGTAAGTGACTGCGTTGTGTATTAAACAGTTACAATCGAAGCTAACTCCATTGTTCATTGCAATTATATTTTCAGGTGATGTCGCGAACGGATGATGTTATCAACGTCGCTGGCCACCGTATTACGACTGGTTCGATTGAGGAAGTTATCATTGAGATTCCTGAGGTCGTGGAATGCGCGGTGGTACGTAGCTCGAGGGGGTTACAGTACCATTTTGCAGTGATCTCACTTAAAATTTTGATGACGGCAGTTTGGCGTCTCTGATCCACTTAAGGGACACGTTCCGGTTGCTCTTCTGGTGATTGACAAGAAGATTGATCGTCCTAAGGAGGAGGTACGACCTAACGTGCAGTAGAAGTATATTCTATCTCTAACTATCGATTTTTGTGTGATATTTCAGATCATCGAACAAGTTGTACGCGATGTACGTGAGCAGATGGGCAGCTTTGTGTGTTTGAAATCTGTTGGTCTCGTGAATGCGCTGCCCAAAACTCGCTCTGGCAAGGTCATGCGAGCTACGATCCAAGCTGTCGCCGACTCGGCTCCATTTCGTATGCCAGCAACCATCGACAACGTCGCAGTACTTGACGATATCCGTGGAGTACTGCAGAAGCTAGGATATGCCAAAAAGAAGTCCGTGCTGAGCCAGTAACACTCGATGTACATCCATGTACATGTAAGCGTGACTAAACATATATTTCACGCCGTAAATAACGTTCCCAATCACGTAAAGTAGGTAAACACAATCATTCTGCACATGTTTACAGTGTCAATTTGACCAGTTATTATTATTTGAAAAAAGAAACCGAACATGTTTTTTGCTAGTGCCATGTCTTGCCAAGATGCCGCGTTCCTGGAAGAGGTGGATGACTTTCTCGTCTCCTTCGACCTGCCCATATTCCCGGCGCTCCAGTCGCTCGACATCGGGCATGGCGACGAAGTGTCTGCCACCGACGCAGTGAAGAAAGAGGCCGCACAGCCACTAAATAATGCCAAAAAATCGAAGGGCAGGAAGACGAAAGAGGAGCTTGATCCAGTTGCGAAACACGAACTGGAGAAGGCGAAAGACCGAAAGAGACGCAGTGTGTACAGAGAACGTCGAAGGGTCGAGAAGGAGAGGCTACAACAACAAGTGGGTGAGCTTACAGCCGAGCTGACACAACTTCAGAGGGCCAACGAAGCTGAGAGGTCTCTGGCTTCGTCGGCATGGGAAATGGTGGCCAAACGGCAACTACTAGCTCGAGTCAACGCTGAGGACGAACAGCGTCGGCTCATTACAGCTATTGAGTCTCGAGCTGCTCTGATCTACGAGTTCCAAAGCGCCATGCACAATAACCTCAATAACGACCACGATGATGGAGCGTACCAGCACAAGAGGATTCGTCTTGAACCTTCGGATGCTGAGTTTTTCAAGGCTTTCGTTATGGATTTAGATCATTTTTACGCTCAAACGGACGAGGCTTTGAGGAATTATGGATTATATTCCACGGATGCCGGTTGGGATCAACCGAGACGACAGTGGAAAGAGGACGGCAAGACGGGGTACCATGTGTACACTGATAAGTACACATTGCCCTTCCCTTTTCAGCAGGTCTGCCGGTTTTCGTGGCAAGTGGCACAGATGCAACACCGTCAGGAAGATCGAGAGCATTTTGACGGAGTGGACGACCCCGAGAATACGTCGGCATTTAAATTTCGAGTTACAACCCGCCTAAATTCGGGCAGATCGGTGTCGGTGTTGCAGCATGCAGTAGTCCGTCGCTACGTTAGAGATGATCGAGCAGTTGTCGTCTGGCGATCGTTTACTGAAGGGGAGGGAATGTTCACTGGCATGCATGCTGATGAATCGGGATGGTGCGTGTCGATCCCGCTGTCGAGTTCGCCGGAGTCAAATACTTTGATTCGAACGATTATGCGTCATGTGCCAATGCACTTCCGTTCGAAATCGACAGAGGATGTGGCAGCACGGCAGTTCACAGGGCTTTTGCTCGAATCGGGAACTGAAGATGCTTGTGAAATCGGAAACAGGATGGAGAAACTGCTACTGCAAGACAAGTAGCGAGGGATGTCAGTTTTCGTGCTTGCTAAAGTGCAAGTACCGTAGGTGACAAAAAAAGCACACCCACAGACATCCTGTAGAATAAACGATTTTTTGTGAAAACAAACAAAAGTGCAATTTTATTCATTAAAACTTTTATCTTCGATGTCTGAAGCATCATCGACAACAACAGCATCTGGCAGTGCGTGCAGGTATGTTGCGAAGACGTCAGACACATCTCTAGGCCCTACAGTAAGCAGTTTGCCTTTCGAAACCTTTTACAATGCTTTTTTTTCCTTGACCATGTCCCATGCTTTCACTACCAAGAAAGACAGCATCACACGGCGTTCTGCTGTGTTAGCTGGGAAAGGATGAAAGGACTGCGATGTAACTTGACTAGCAACTCGGCACCCCGGTTTTCCCGCAACTACAATAAATGGCTTCAGCTTTCCTCCTGTTGCTGACGCGCAAAAAAAAAAACGCTGCATCGCCCTGTGTTTTCGGCTGCGCCTTGAACGATGTCAATATTGCGTGTCGCACAGTAGTCCACTGCTAATTTTCCGGGGTTGTCAATGAAGACAGCCATTTGTTCCATGTTGTAGAGCCTTGACTACTTATTCTCATAATGAAGCGAGCGTCGCAACGCAAGAAGGTTGGGAAGTGACTATTAGTGTGATGCCTCCACCTACTTGTTAGGCAGCAAGTAGTCGAAAGAGAAGAACTGTTGATATTGCAGTTAGAGGTCATCAAATTTAGTGTTATTGAACAAACATTCTATAATACATTCCTTTGAACTCTACCCAAAGTGGGCTTCAGACTTTTAGCTCAATCGGACAAGAGCACCGACGATTGTGCGGATGGACCCGGGCTCGTTTCCAGCTGTGCCAAACGAAATTATTTAGTAAGGCTACTTTAGTGATTCTCGTCACCCAAGTTGTTTGGTTCTAATCCTTCGCCAGCTCTTTTAATCCTCTGACCGTGCCACTATAAAGGGGAAGTCAGATTACTAGATGCGTTAATGTGCACCGATTTGATCCATGTGCTATTTGTTAGTAGTTGCAGTCTTATCCATGTCAAGTAATGTGAACGGAAGGAATGCATTTTTGGGTGCAGTTATCTAAAACGTGGATATTATAAATTTGCACCTATAATACCGATTAGCCAAGGATTTGCGCAAGATACAGTAAGGTATCCATTTTGTGGCTGTATGCGTGCTTGTGTGTGTGTGCTGGTGTGTGTGCTGGTGTGTGTGC